ACAATAACTGCATAATTTGCCACAATTATAATATCAGATACAAAAATGTTTCACCTTTGCATTTTATTCCAAATTACACACAATTTATTTTCCCCCTGATACAAAATTAATTAATTATCAACCAAGTTTCTCCTTTCTTTGGTAATAAGGTTTATAAAAAAAGGTGAATTTGTGGATTCATTTGTAAATTCTTTATGACAAAGATATTAAGAATGATATACTAATTTCTATCATGTTACAGTGCACAATTGATCGATGAATTGAAATTATTTGCATACCTACGCACAGCTAAGCAACGACAGTCTACTGTTTTTTGTTGTTGTTTTTTTTCCTTTTCAGTTTCAACGTAGTCTGATTCTTACATATATATTAAAACAGTGCCCTCTACAAATTTACAACGTAACCAGTTTACTAAAACAATTGTTCAATGTAAAATTGTTTTTCACTAAGAATATTATAATAACTAATTCTAACAAAACAAAATAGACAAATGTAAACTGCACTTTGAATCTTCTCATATTTTTTAATAAGATGTTTTAAATGTGATTAAATTGTACCGTTATTTTATTAATGGCATGCCATTATTATATAAAAACATTCAAATATTAAATTTTGAGTTTTCTACTACATTCTTTATTGTTTTGTAGAAAATTATATAAGTTTAACAAGCAATTTCGGTATTCTGTGTTCCAACTGAAATATATTTTTGTGTCGTTTTACATCGTTAACTTTATATAACAAACGCTGTTATCATACACCACAAAATTGTTGAGATGTAATAATCTCACACATCTTACCAAATTTTTGTTTCAACTTCGCGCTAAAGGTAAATTTGCTCACTGGAGACCTCCTTTGTTAGAATGAGGGCCAACCCCGCCCTTATTTTCTGCACTTCAGCTGCACTAGAGCAGGCCTGGACAACGCCTACTTCCGGGGGAACTGTGCACTCAAGAGTCTTAGTTATTAATAAAGATTTACGTTCACGTCACTGAAGATTAATCAAAGTTCTAGGAGCACAACTGCACTTATATTGTGACCATTTCCCCCCATTATGAATGTGAATAAGAGATATCAACGAGAAAACCTCTCTGACGATGTTATGGAAATCGTAAGATTATTGTGGGTATTGTGAAATTGAACGCAAAGGGCTTAATCTTTTTTATACGATGTCCTAAACGATTATGAATAAATAACGATTGTTGATTAGGTATTAGAAATGTACATTGTCATCTTATCAGATCAGATCAGGCGGAAAGTAATAATGATTTCTTAAGAATTATATTTTTAGCTTTGATAGAACCGTCGCATTTAATGAAACATAAATCCTGAAAAATAGTTAATTACTGTCAACTGAAACATAAATAATGAAAAATAGTTAATTACTGTCAACAACAAACAGAAACCATTTAATAGTACAATTCTGTATTTACAACCACACTAAATTGTCATTACTTCCTAGACGCCGTCGCATGTGCAAAGTACTGAGTAGGTCTGGCATTGAAATGACACATAAAATGGTTTGGAGATTCAACTTCAGCAACAGAAATTACATTTAGACACATATACCATCTCTTTATCTCAGGAAAAAAATAATTTCACAAGGTTTTTGACAACATTTCTCCTTAAACAATATTACCTGACTTCAGACGTTTTCGTGAGAGATTTGTGGAAAGGAATTTTAAATATGCAATATTTAGTAATAAAGTAAAATAAACGTAATACACTTCATAATAAATTATTTATTTATTGTCAGGCTGACATAGAAGCATTAATACATAAAATTATATTAGTGCGAAACATGTGAATAATGAAAATCGACAACAGTCTTAGAAGGATTTGTTTTTTAAATTTAGGATGAACATGCGAATGATGAAATTATATTCGTAATGTTATAGTAGTATCTGATCATCAAGTGTAATATACATAAATTTCGAACCTAAATAAATAAAAGTTTATCTTCCTGGATCGATGTATTAGCAATATTTATTTTTATGTATCGGGAGGATATTTGTAATGGTTATATATTGGAAGAAAAAAAAGAAAATTATTTGACAAATAAAAAACAATAAAATAAAAATACATTACAATTAACACAAAATATTACACAAAATATTTCTGATACATATTAAAGCACATTGTCACTTAAAGCATAACTTTTATTTAGTCGTCGAAGTACACTTATAGCTTTGAATATTTTTTTAATATTTTAAGTGCGTAAAGTAGCTTTTGTTATATTCCCATTCGTTTCATATGTATCTTAACTAACAGTTGTAATGTAAAATTATGAAGAGTGTCAAGTCGCCATAATCATTTTACTCATTGAAACTGAACATTCAATACATAATCAGCTGTAAGCACTATCAACATTATGTTAGTTTTTATTTTTAAATAATTGTATAAGCAGAACATTTAGAATTATATCTGAGTAAAATAAAAGATATCTAGTCGAACACACCATGTTTGTCAAAATACGGTAACAAATCTTGGAATATCTCTCGGAATACAGGATTTTCATATGTTTTGTTGAATATTTGAACATCTCCTTTTTCCAGTTTTTCCTGTGTCATATCTTTCATGTCGGGAGTGTCATCAGGATTGGCCAGCAAACCGGCCATTGTAGTTATTGCTGAATTGAATCCAAAAAACAGTGTTCGATCCATCTCTTGACGGAGCTCATCGTAAGTGAAGATAGATTCATTGTAACCAAGCTGTTTTGCAAACCTTGCAACTTCGGTGCAATAAATCTGCAGCAGATCATCAAACTTTTTATTTCGCACTTCATTTTGAAGGCTCGTGAAAAGGAAGTAGTGCAGATCGATAGCTGGAGAAGACTTCCTTGACGCTTGGAAGTCAACAAACCTCAGGTCTATAGGTTCTCCCGACTCAGAATATTCAAATAATATGTTGTTCATCCAGCAGTCACCATGAACGAGAACGTTCGTAAATTTCTCAGCAGGTTTACATACCTCTAACAATTTATCCACAAATTTTGACTGATTTCTCTCCAATTTTTTAACTATATCACCAAAGCCATCCCAAGACTTGACTGCAGCAATCAAGGTACCAGCAATTGGCGGAAAAAATTGATCAAAAAATTGACGGAATTTTTCAGAAAACATGGTCTCTTCGAAATCAGAGAAAAAATCAGAGTGTGATGCACTGTACGCGATAGATAACGCATGGAAGCGAGCCAAGTACAATAAGACTAATTTTGCATGTGTGTAATCAAGCCGATCCTTTCTTGGCACCATTGTAAATTTCTGAGCTTTGAGATCTTCAAGTACCAACGTGTTTGGTCGCGTTGTCTGGTAGAAACGAGGAGTAAACTTTTTGAATGTTTCTCCAAGTCGGGAATCAGCAAAAGTGTACATGTTCGGTAAAGCTTTGCTGTAGACTGATATTTCCGTTCTGAAAATGCCTGATTGAAGAATCCACATTTGCATGAATTCTCCTGGTGGAAGCGATTTGACAATGAAATCCTTGACGACTATTGCATCGGATCCCGGGATTCGGTATTCCACTCGTGTTCGGTAAAGGCTACTTTGAAAATTATCTCCCTTACTTGTGGCGCGCTTTACATCAATGCTAACTATTTCAGCCTTCTCTTCCAAAGCTGAGTCAAAGAGTTGATTATCAATCCATGATACTTCATCCTTTGGAACTGCATCTGGAGGAGACCTGTAAGAAGTAAAAATACATAAATGTGGATAGTATGTGTTTTAAAAAATTCCGTGCGATACGTTCTTCCAAAATTATATTTTTGCGAAAAACAGTTACAACTAAAACCTATAGCAAGGCGAGCTTCTTTTATTATTATATGTAATCGTAAAACAATAAAATATTTTTCTTTGAAAAAGTTACTAGGAACATAAAGTTCTTTACATATTAAGTGCGGTGCGTTATGCAATCCAAATACGAAAACATCGTTCGAAAGTGGTGGAACAATCGAAGCCTCATCATCGTTATATTGAAACGAATCAATAATAACTTATAATTATTATAAGTGGTCAGGAATTATTAGCTCACTTTACGACGATATATCGAAGGCACCCTTACTCAACGTTGTAGTAGTATGTTTTAATCATGATTTCGGATCTTAAGAATTTTTTAACTTATTTAAGACACTAGTCAAATGTAAGGCCCTCAATGACATACGCATGTGCCATTTGGAGAGGAGCCTTCATTGATATTTCTGTATCAAAGACCTATAAAACATGGATTCTGGCTACCCCACGTATTAGAGGATTTATTTTTCTAAAATGTGCAACTAGATTTAACAACTTTTTAGTTACAAGGGCCACGTTATAAGAGTTTCTCTACTCCGTAGCGAGAAAGTAACAATTAAGACACTATATGGTCCAAACGTTTTTATGATGTACCAGGGTAGCAAATCAGTTGCACGCAAATCACGGGAGCTTTCCATAGAAGTGAAGAAACCCTATAAGGATTTGCTGACACACATAATTTTGTTTCTAAATAACCTCATATTAATAAAAGATAGATTAAAAATTATACTAGTGAAAAATCAGTGAATATAATTAGTGAGTATTGAAAAGAATGATCGGCAAAGAAATATATTTCAAAAATACTTTAAAGATTTCATTAAAACGTTCAATACTATTAATTAAAAAAATCAAAATTGAAAAATATATTTTAGAACACTCGAGGAACAAGAACCTCTCCCCCACCTCCAAACTGTAAAAACGGCCTTGAAGATCAAATAAACTTTTTGTCATACGAGTTATTTTTCTATTGTTTATTCGTTAGCCTGGATTAGCTGTTCGGTTTTGCGACACTCTATTCTCAGCTGCTATCTATTGGGACATTTTTAAAATTTTCTAAACTGAACGTAATATCAGAATTAAAATATGATGTAAAAAAAAAAGATAAAAAATATTTGGAACCGTTTTAGAGAAAATTAAGTTTTAGTGTTTCAGAAAATGCAGAAATAAAATCTCATTTTCACAGAAAACGTTTGTTTGCTAGAAACTTTATAGAACTTTTAAATCCTTGATACTCACAAATGCAATAACGTATACAAATCGCCGGTAATGTAAAAATTAAGGACCTAGGAGAGATACCAAACAAGAACACTTGTGTATTAAAAAATCAAAGGATACAACAAAATGACGTTTTTATTTAAAAATATCTTTTAAGATTTCCAGTACTTCAAACGAATTTACGGGATAACTTCTAATATTTCGAAAAAATTGTACATGACATCAATTAAAGAACTAACTTGAGGAGAATAAGGTTTATTTAAAGAAAACAATTGCCGTTTTTAATATTGTACTTTCACGAACATAACGAAAATGTCAGTTTTGTAATTTTCCTAAATTCAGAGTTAACAGTGTAAACCGAACCTACGCCATCTTTATGAAGTGTATTTCACTCCATTCTTCTCAATGTAAAGAATACTTTTGGGGCCAATTTTGAGAAAATTATGTAAATGTCCCCGGGGCTTCATGTAAAGTTCTCCCAAAATTTAAAGAATAGTTTTCAAAACACCAGAACTTTGAGTCGGACCAGATCGGCCAGGTAATATACATTTTGGAAAAATCCTAAAAATATTTTAGACGCTAGTGTTGTTGAGAGACGGATGGAGAAAGAGACAGACAGCCGGACATTTTGAGAATACCACTATTTTAGTATCAGGAGACCCTAAAACGTGTATTTCCGTTGAAATCACGAAAACGATTTTCCACAGCATTACATAACCTTTCCCAATCTATGTATATACTCTGTATAAACGTATGTATACAAGGTTACAATGGCACAATTTCGATTTTGTCGTAATGTAATTATTTGATAGTTTTATCTATTCGCATTCTGCGTGTACCGACTAATTCTCATACTCGGTGGTTACGGCGGAGTTGACGCCACGTGACATCAAGGCTCGCCGAGGCCGCCAAACATTAAATATTTGCTATTGATGAGATACGTTATGGAACAATGTTAATGAACAGTGTGCTTACTATATTGTCTAGGCTATCCGGAACGAGCCGCGTCTCTGCGTGGTTGCTGACGTTTCGGCCATGTTGTGGCCTTCCACAGCGGTACGCTCTTGAGGAAGGCCAAAACATGTTGGGCGAAACGTCAGCCACCACGACAGTGAAGCTGCTCATTCCGTATAGCCTAGATAATACTACGTTCATGACTTCAATGTAGGTTATTTTGATGCCCAGACAAGCTTACAAAGCGAAAACTAAATCTTGTGAAAGAAGAATTATTGCCGAATTAAGGTATGTGTTTTGCAGGACACATTAGCCACGTTTATCGGAGAAAAAACGCACAAAAAAGTGTACTGTAGCGGCTCGTCGCGGACAACCTAGGACTAGAAGACAATACCAACTCCGGCTACGTAAGCCTTCGCAATCAGTGTGCTTGCTGTTTCGGAAAACTATTTTGTGTAGTTTGGTTCAGCATTTTCACTGGTGCTGGCCCGGGCTCTATATATTGTTCCTCAATGTAAATATTATATTTAATGTGTTTAGAATTTTTAACCCTTTTTGTATGGGAAAGTAAATAAAAAATATAATTACACATACATAAATTTTACTTCCTCACCTCACTATGTAAGTAGAAAAAATATTGTAATCATGCGCTGGAAGTCAGCGATCTTTCGACAGAAAAATATTTATTGCCGGGTTCTGGAAACGCAAAAGCAGACAATTGTGTTCCTGTATTTGTAGTAAATTACTTCCTCTATTACACGGTGTAGTTAATATCAATTTTAGGCGACCTTGATACATTGATTGACGGCAAAACGACTAAAATTCTGTGGCTATGCTAGCTCCTAAACCGTTCGGACAAATTTCTCCGAAATTAATATTCTCCAATTGCACTAAACGAACTCGAGGTCCTGCGAGTTTTACACGGATGTTCTGATTTTTTGGATTATTTTATCATAAGCCTCAACATTCTCAAAATTTTCTCAGAACCGGATCAATCTTTTTATTAAACTTTGCTTTTGGGTAGCTTAGCGAATGATTAATAACTGGTACAGGACTTATTTTCGTCGAATTCATGATGTTTCGAAAATTGCAAAAGATGTTTTTTTCCAACTCTTCCTATAGCTACAATATTGAAGGTAGATTGGTTTACCTTAATTGAGATTGTTGTTAAAAGATAGATCTTGAAAAATGGTGATGTACATTTTTTCTAAAATATAAGGATATTTTACGTTATATATAGGCCATTGTTAATCACTTATTTTCATTTTTTACATCAGATCCGATTTTTTCTTATTTTTTTCTCGTATGTTTCAGAGGACGGCAAAAAATTGGCACTGGTGCCTTTTGTTGCAAACACGCTGTGTTTTCCAAACATGTAAAAAGTTATCGTTGCAAAACTACAATTTTGAAAATGATCATTTTTTCTTAAATCTGTTCTAAAAAATAGATTTTAAAATACGTAATTTTTTTAAGAAACTCATATTTTTCGAATAATTTATTTTTGAAGTAAATGCAATTTACAAAAAATCTTAAAATCGGCTTCAATTTTTTCTGTAAATTTTTCTACGGATGGAGCAAGGAACACACAAAATAACTGTGCGTGTCTCATGAAAATCTGAATTTCGGGAAATTGCAAAAAGAATGCGAAAAAGTACTTGCTGTTGTAGCACCTCTAGTTTTCGAGATGAAATACGAGCGGTTGGTTATAACGGTATCTCGGTAACGAACTGAATACACGTCTTTCGTACTATTTCATAAAAGCGTAATAATACAACGCTTTCCTCCACCTCATTATCAGAGGATATAAAGTAATGTTGCTTTCATGGGGTTTTGAGAATTGAGGGTAATTTACATGTAGTAAATAACTAGACCAGTTCACAATGACTTTTGAAAGTAGTACATTGATCACTTGATCTTCACAGAAAAAAATAGCAAACATTTTCAAAAAAATATTCATTTAAAAAATGAATCACGAGTTTTGTAATGCGTCTATTTGTTTTCTAACATACACTGAGGTGTCAAACGTTGTGAGATACCTACCTAATGTTGTGTGGAATATCCTCGATTACGGCGAAGTGCAGCAAATCGACGAGGTATGAACTCAAGTCGACGGATGTCCTCAGTAGAGATGTGTAACCATGCGCCCCATAATTGCATGATTATTGTAGGCGCGTTGGACGACTACATAAGCAAACTAAGCACGTGCTCACAGAATAGGGAATCCCAAGAATGCCTAAACAAAACTTTGTTAGATTATATGTAAAAATATTTTAGCATTAAATTTTTAAATTGCAAGGTTTTAGTTTATTATCAAATTCTTTTTGATTACGTGTGCAATATTTCAATATTGTTAGGAGGCCTCATATTGGTCATGCATGCAGTAATAAACCCAGTCCTTTTTGCATCTTTTAAACGAATGGTTCGTTCAATAATTTCTGAAATGTGCAATATGAGGTTCATGTTTAATGATCTAAGTGGTCAAACAATGCATCTAAAAAGTCTATACACAACAGCGGCCATGAGCATACAGGACACGTTGGAGGCCTCTTTTCCGCTGTCCTGTTGGGAATTAATGCCTCCCATGTTGATTTTAAGGCCAATACTCGACTCAGCAGATCGAGGCATGTTCAATGTATACTGTCTAAATCACTTCGTATATAGAATGCCTCTTTCGTCTAAGAGTCAATTATCACCTCTTGAACATACTCTTGCAAATGGCGTTATGTAGCAATTACAATGGTAGACCACCCATTACTGGAGATACAGGAAACCAAGTAACGGCAATAATGGTGCTTCGAGCAACAGGATTTTTCGGAAGTCTATCACAAAGTGAAATAGTTCTACATCACTATCTCATGATTTTTGGGACCTCAGTTTAATTCTTACTTTAAAAGTTTTTGTAAAGTCAAAATTGTATGTTGTTCCGGCATAAAAAATATCGTAGTTACACATGCTAACAGCTCGAGGTATAGTAGATATATAAAGTTTATGCATAATTTTCAAAAATATACACAAACAATTACATTAACTTGAACTACAAAAAATAACTTCCAGGAACAGTTGTTATGAATGCACACAAATATTTTGCATATTTTATGCCTAGTTTATAGAGATTAATATACTAATGGACTGACGCAGAAAAGACAACCCAACTATTAAGCGACATTTCAAAATTCTAACAAAACACTATTGAGGTTAAAGAAATGTAATGAATGGAAAGGATTGAAATATTCATTTATTTACGACAGAAACAGTGAAAAACTGTGTGGGTCGTGCTATGGGGAGAAGTTAATTTGAAGTTACATTTATGTCCAGAAGCAAAACAAGAAGCCATCTCTGCATTTGCTCAAGGATCAGGGAAACTGGACGAAAACCTGATCGAGATGAGGGTCATTGATACGGAAGCTGAAGTACAATACTAGTTACAGGATCTTTAGAATTATACAATCCAAATGATATATAATACATTAAATGTCGTGGTTAAAATTAATATTACTTTCCTTTTGGATACTCGATATAGTTTCTTAATTGTATAGAAACAGTTGTGCAGCAGAAAAGATTTTACTTGGGACTTAAAACTTTTGTATCGAATTTAATCGTTTAATGTCATCTGGCAAGGTGGTGTAAAATAATATACATGTATTGTATGTGATTTTTTGTAGTGAGCTGTTGATACTGTCATTTGATGTATATGATTACTACATCGAGTGTTGTAGTTATACGAGTGTTGTATTGTAGTTATATCGTAGACAACGGCGTTTGCTGAAAATATAAGCAAGTCATTTTTGACAAAACCAATGATTCATGTATGAAGAGACAATGTAATGGTAAAATACACAGATTAATAAAGAGAGGCTTAGAACAATAACGTGAGTGGCTTTGCTTATTATTCGTACAATTCTTTATTATAATCTAAAAGTCTGGGAGCTATAAGATGTATTTCCCCAGAATATTATGCTAGATCTCAGGTGGGAATGAACATTTGCAAAATATACACAACAAGCAGTGTGGAGTATAACTGAATTTGAAAGAATTCTGAAAGCCTGGCACAAGGAACGTAATTTAGTGTTCAATTCATTTAAATGGACGTTCCATTTAAGGTTTGAATGAATAGATAGACCTAACAATTTTGTTAACTTAATATCAGTCAATGGCACTCCGTTCATTTTCAATGGAGTACACAACTGTTTATTTAAAATAGAAAAATGCATTGAATCCGTTTTTCCATTTACTATTAATTTATTATTACGGAACCAATTTCAAATATATGATATTGTACTATTTACAGTTTCTAAATTGCAAAGAATATTCGTATCATCCGCAAAGAGAACTGTTCTTTCGTTTCTAATTGTCGAGGGCATATCGTTTACGTATAGCAGGAAGAGAATATTGCTTAAAATCGATCCTTGCAGAACTCCACATGCAATTGGCAAAGAATCGGAAAAGTGTGTACATAGTGTTTCATTATTTCAATAAGGTGTTTCTACTGTCTGAGATCATTGTTTAGGATATGAACATAACCATCTAGAACAATATTAATAATTCCATACGAAAGTAATTTTGAAAGTAAAATGGTATGATCAATGACGTCAAAAACTTTTGTAAGATCTAAAAATATTCCAATAGGTGCTTCGTTTTGATCCATTGATGAGGCGACCAATTCTTGTAAGTTTTTCTTTAAACAACTACGTTCATCAATTCCCATGGGCAGTGTAGTGTGAGAATCCTCCAAGCAATTAAACTTTTGGAACATCATTCAGCAGACACCGCACTTACTAATAACTAATTAATAAATATATTTTTAAAAAATCGTATATTGCCCACGTCCGTATCAAATGAATATTGTAATGAAATTCATTTTATTTTGCATCCCGGGTTCTGAGATATAGGTTTCTCTACCCTGGTAACACCTTAAAATATTCACCAATAAGATTAGTTTTCTATTCATTGGAATATTACACAATTCTGAAAGATTTCCTGTCTCTTTATAAAGATAATCTCATCCATCCTTGCATCCATTCATCTATCCACTTACATATCCATTCGTACATCATTTATCTATCTATCCATCCATTGATGAATCATTACTACACGAAGAGAAAATAAATCATAACTTAGAAAATTTCCTCGCTCACTTTAACAATGTTCAGGAGAAAATATCTACCCGTCTATCTATCCATTTATCTTATGTGTTCATCTTTCTTTACAATCATCGATATATCCGTGTGTACAGCCATCTACATATCCATATATACATCCAACCATCCATCTATTTACGATATTGATTATACAGAATGACTGATGCAGATCATGGTTCTTGTGTGTCAAATATATTAAAAAGGAGGCGTCCAGTTGGCGGCTCTGCGCGAGTTCTCGCGGTGGTCGCCAGCCGCCACCATGATGGAAAGACACCACTATTCGAGTGGTATCTCGAATAGTGACCATCACTATTCGAGTATCGAAAAATCAATATTTGGAAGTACCGAGAAAAAGCGTGTATACGCCTCATTATATGATTGGATACGATTGATTATGGCACATCATGATATAATTGGAATTTAATACTTACGAAGCCATGTTTCCTCTAGGTGGAGACAGGAAGCTACAGCTCCGATTGCACCTCGTGAATTAACTGTATGACGAGCAAACCACAGTCGACCGTGAGTCTTCTGCAGTCTCTCAGAAACGACTGAAAACAGAAAGAGACAGAACAGCTTCGCTATCAGCACTTCGGATTATTCTGGTACACTGAAACCGGAGATAGGGAAAGTGGTGTGAATCATGCGTTCAATACACTCAAACCGGAAGATAAAATGCATATTTAAAACTGTAAACATTTAATTGTTTGTTATCTCCTGAATAAACGTTATAATACGTGTTTTTAGCAACATTTTATTAAAATGTTATAATTGTGATTGCTGATATGAAAGTATGATGATGATGATGATGATGATGATGTTGAGGTGATGATAATTATGTAAGTAACGAAAAGGTACTTTGAGCATAGTTTGGGTTCACAACCAAAAGGACTTTGACAGTGCACGTGACACATCGTTAATGAAGACTTATATTTAGAAGAAATATATCAATTTCATCTAAAACATATTAAGTATTTTTAGGGTGAAAATGAAGCTATGGAATACCAGATTATGTATACGCAATGAAACACAAGCAGAAGCATAAGAAATATTCAAATTAACAGGGGTATTTTTCAGGATAATTAACTATCCTTTCTTCTGTTTTGCATTAGTTGGAGCTCGTTGATAGCCCGTAGCTGATACGCCCGCTTCAATCAACTGAGGCAAGCTGACTTTGGTAACAAACTTCACGATGACGAAAGGCTAATTGGATGATCTTCTTACCGGTCACGGCCCATCCAACATTTGAAGTGTCCGTTCAAATGGAGCTATTTCCATCAGCAATATTTTTCAGCATACGAAAAAAGATAATAATTGAACAGAATTACCTTTTATGATCAGAATAACAAAGTGTGGGGTATTTGACTTAGAAGTAAACAAAACTAAACGTGATTTTTGATAATATTAGGTTCTGTTATTGGATGAAGGCAAACCATTTTTCTTTGGAAGAGGAACACACACTCCATAAATGTCTGTCGAAAATAAAATGAGCAAACGCATTCCATGAAATTTAGTCTTGAAAAACTTCCAAAACATTTTGAAAATTAAATTTTTAAATGATGTTGTCTGCCAGTTTTTTAAAGCACAACGTTAGTTTTACAAAGTAGTTTCTTTGTAATTTTGAGTGAAAAGGTTACAATAAAAATTATGTTAACAAGAGTTTCTGAAAAATCGCTGGATTTTTATTTTTTCTCGAATAGAGCAGTTCCCTTAATATGACGACATACATATGATTTTCATTTGATCCTTTGATATTTAGAGAACAGATTTATTTTTTATTTTTATCAAATTCCTCCTATACACTCAATATTCGAGCTAATATTTATTTCCTAAAGTATTTGATCCCCAAATTAGGTCTTATAAGCATTACAAATATAAGTATTGTGTTTTTTTTCAAATTTCATTAGAGCATAAGATTGTTCTGTAATTACACAATTTGAGTATTTTTTTATTTCAAACCTTTATTTCGATTGTCAACATTTTTTGGGGTATACAAATTAAAGAGAAAAATGATAAATATCACATTGTGGAGAGAGATTTAGAAAGTTTATGTTACTTTGATTGTTTTAAGTAAAACAATGATACACGTGTATTACATCATTTCGGTGATTTTTTTCAAAACGTTAATAGTTTTCCGGCATGTTTTAATTACATTGTGACAAAGTTCGTTTGTTTTTTATACCTGTTAATATTGATGCTAGATGTCATTCTTAATCCAATCCTCAATATTAGATCTTTAAATTATTTAAAAAATACTTGAAAAATATGAGTGGTTTTCCCATAATCTTGAATTATATCGTTTAGGTTTTACAAGTAGTGACTGGCTGACGTGTTAGGATGGAAAGTGTAAAATTTCAATATACCCGTTACGATAAAGTATGCGCAATATGTACGAGATACTATGTGGAGCACCATTAATTACATTATCTTTTATTACCATGTATGATATTTAAACTTATTCTATTCTTTATCATGTCTTGGATTCTTTAGTTATGGGACGAAGAAAAGCTCCAGCGCGCATTCTAGTTACGGTGAAGAGAATATGTCATATTCAGCACATGTCTCTTTTATGCCCCCCTCTCCACAAAATTGAGACTTAAAGTAGGCCCAGGCATGGGGAACACCGTTACCTGGCCGGAAAAGTCGGACAGTCGGCTCAAAAGGCCATATGTACACATATTAATAAACTTGTGTACACGTGGCATTCGAAACAAACATTATTCTACTTGAGATTTCAGAAAATCTACCACCATCCTTCTTTTCCTCCCGTTAAAGTAGAATTTAACTGCCTATTATTTCATATTTTCGCGAATATCTTGAAAACGGCGAGGAAACGGGGCAAAATAAATCGACATTTTCTAAAAGCTCATTGGATATTTCAAGGTTTGAAAAGTAGTTCGTCCTGAGAAGCAGACTGAGTTGGGGAGGGCCGCAGTGAGTGGAGCGGGGCCGAGCGGAGACGGAAAGGTGCAGTGGAAGGTAGGACGTCGCAGGGACGTAATAGTTAACGATAGTTAAAAGTGACATTGTAGTTAACGAGTACGAAAGTTTGCGACACGAGGCCGATAAACCTCAGGTCGCAATCGTTTAATCATGCGTTAAGGTCAGTAGAGCTCAGTAGTCAGTAGTAGGTCAGTAGTCACTTTGTTGCATTCACAGTTATCTGAAAATTTGACTATCGCCTCAGTTTCAGCACGCTAAGCGTGCCCTGAAAGAATCGCATCCACTAGGGGCTGTCTAAAAACAGACACCAGAGAAAATAATCAAATTTATTGTTCTTGTTTAATTTTATTATTACGTTCATTATACACGATTTTTCAGCATATATGTAAGATATTGTTCGCCAACATTTACTGATGCTATTTAGATTTTGTTAGTGAGGTGGTGTCTGAAGGTCGTGGTTTTGCGTCTCATTGTGATTTCTGAGGATTTTCTGTCGAGAGCTCTTATGTGAATTCAATATGCCAAACTTTCTTTAAGTGAGTCGAAATTTCAAAGGTTTCGTAGATAAGTGGAATTGGCTCATTACCCTTACATTACCGTTTTATGGAATTATTTAGTAATACAAATTATTGATAAATAACATTTTAATTTGCTTGTAACTCGTGAATGTAACTTATGGTACTTACATTTTATTCCGGCAGCTTATTAGTAATAAACAGAAATGTATGCTATATACTGTAATTTATAGGACGGGAAGTTGGGTAGTAGGGAGTAGGCACAAAAACAAAAGTAGTGTTGAAACAATTTTCCATTATTTAATGACTTCTACACCCGAAGACTACACATTCCTTCACCATGCACATTTTTCACACAACATATAAACTTGTTCACAATATTGGATGATATTTTTCCAAAAGACATCGTGATTTAAAATATTAAAAACGAAAAAGTGTTAGAAACACCCTCTTTCATACTTAACTCACGCAGCCATGCAAGTTTATACCGGGAGTATTTAAAAAAAAGTTATTACTCGGCATTTTGGCGACCCGTAAATATCATACAAAATTACTTCTAGAATTGTTCATTCAAAATCTTGAGAAAACGGATAGAATTTTTTTAAATCGATTAATTTACTCGAACACGCCCCGGCTGTCAAAGTATGGCAAAAGATATTCGAAGGCATCTCGAAAGGCTGAGCTCTTATACACCTTTTCAAACATGTTCATTCCTTCCCCAGAAGCTGCTTGCTCCTCGGTGACTTTCGATAGATCCGGTGAGTCTTCCGGGTCAGCAAGCACAACTGCCATGGTAGTGATAACTGATGCAAAACCAAACAGCAAAGTACGATTTATTTCTTCACGGATTTCTTCCAATGTGAATGGTGTTCCTTTGTAATCTAGTTTCGAAGTCCACTGCTTAAATTCGTGGCAATAGATGTGGAGCAAATCTTCGAAGCGTTTCTCTCTCACTTCCTTTCTGGGGCTTGAGAATAGGAAGAAATTGAGATCGATTGCTGGAGATGATGCGTGAGTCATTTGGAAGTCGACAAATCGAACTTCAATTGGCTGGTTTGATTCTGAATACTTGAATAGAATATTGTTGATCCAACAATCACCATGAATAAGTACGTTCCTTTCTGGCTTCACTGGGTTGCGAAGTTCTATTAGTTTGTCCACCAAAGTATCTTTGAGAGCTTCCAACTTCTTCGCAATATGTTCAAAACATCCCCAAGTTCTAATCTCTTGCACGATTGATATAATCTGTGGCGTATAAATGTTGTTGATTGTGTCTCGAGTATCACTGCAGTATAATTTGTCATCGAAGTGTGAAATGTAATTAGGGCGATGTTCCGCGTAAACAGCCGACAGTGCATGGAAACGTGCTAAATTTTCAATTACCAATCTCGACTGAGCAAAATCAAGGCGATCTCTTCGAGGTGGGACTACGAATCCTTCTTCGTTCAGGTCATCTAAGATCAATGTGTTCGGCCGCACGACCTTATGATATCCAGCGGAAAACCTCTCGAAAGAATTGTCGCCAAGACGAGCGTCAGCGAAGGCGTATAGTCGTGGAAGTACTTCGCCATATACTTCGATTTCACGGTCGAAAGCGTGCACGTCGGCGACGTACTTCCTGAGGAATTCTGTAGATGGAAGGCCCTTGACAATGAGCTTTTTTACTCGAACTTCGTTGGATCTTGGCAAACGATATTCAACGTACGTTTTGTGAAGGATACTAAGAAAATTGTCCCCTTTGCTAGTGGCAGGTTTCAAGTCAATGCGAAGAACTACAGCTCCATCCTCGAGGATCTCCTCAAGCAACCGGTTGTCGATCCATGAGCCGTCTTCGTCCTGCTCTAGTTGACGACGTATCTCCTCTGAATTTCTATAACAGAAAGTAAGCTGGAAATAACTAATAATAAATGACAAAACTTCAGTTGGCGAAAAAATAACTCCGTTACCTCGGAAAAATTATTCCATTTTCCTTTTTTTTGTTTGTTTGTTTGTTTCAAAGGTTACAATTCTATCCACAGATTAATTTATCGTTATACTTACCTTTTGTTTCCCAAGTTTCTTTGGAAATTGAGCATTTTGGATTATTTTAAGTCACTGCTCATTCCTGTATTTTGTGTTTAAAACGGACTTCATAAAAAATGAGAAGATTCGAAAAGGATATAGTGACTATGTTTTGTAGATTCCGTTTCAATTTGACAGAAATATTCTTTTCTCATTGGTTCCATTGAAAGCTTCATATGCATTTGATGATGCGTTCCAGAGATACAGGGCTAAAAGCTCATTATATAGTGTACAATTTCCTGCATATTTCCGTTGGCAAAAACGTCCATTCCGTAGCACTCACATGGGGCGTACCTTGCATTGAGGTTGATTAATCGTTTAGAGTGTCCGAACGCATTTACTCTAAGGTTGATTAGTCCCGAAAGTGTAGTGCATGATTTGTCCGGGGTGATGGCGATGATGTTCCTCCGTTGGAAGGGTAGATCCGGTGCCGATGTACACGTGAGCTTTCGGGTTTTCCCCTCCTGGTATCGCTCCCAGCTGAGCACTTACCCAACCGGAATCCCCTGCTGGTATCTTACCCAGCCGGAACAATCTTTAAGCTGCCCTCTGATCTCTCAAGATGTGTGGTAATAAAGTGCATGTGTTTGTGTGTGTGTGTGTGTGTGTGTGTGTATGTCTGTGCGTGTGCGAGGGAAGAAGAGGGAACAAGCAGTGGACGAGGTGAGTAAGGAAAGGCCGTGCGCGGTCCGGTGGTGTTTTTACTACGCTATTGCTCTGGCATTCGCCATTAATGCAGGGGAAATCACGGAAAACCGTCAATCAGAGCAGCTAAGCCCAAGTCTCTTCCGCCGGACAGTGCTTGAATTCAGTCTTGTGAAGCTAGTGTAGAAATCCTTCGGAAGGAGGTACTCCCGGGCAGCGACGTTGCAGAGGCAACGCCAATGGTCCCACCGAACCATCGCAGCCGATAACTTTTTTGTAATAAAGAGTGAGTTGCCAAGGAGGCGTAAATAAATTGACGCATTTGGATTTACTACGTAAATTACCCATTCGTATCTAGTAATTTCGGAATAGCATAGGCGAGGCCCGATCCGCAAAGGAAAATCTAGGCTGTAATGAGGATGTAATATAAGAGGGAAGTTCCGCTATTCAGTATGCATTTGGGATAATATTGTCCGACATTTACAAATAACAGTAATTGTCGGACAATATTATCCCAATTCTTTGGGGAAATCGCCCGGAATTGTATATATTTTTCGTGTTCCACTTTAATGAAAAGAAAACAACTTAGAAATCCTTCACGTATTTTGAGTGCAAAAAAGATTCAAGAGTTATTAAAAGCTCATATACTATGAAAATTAATGTTATTCATTGATGATGTTATTCATTTTTTGAATTTTCATCTTTTACTTTGTAACTATATTCCTCCATTGAAAATTCACACCTTATTGGAAACTAGTTTTTCTATACCCTGGCAGGTTTTTCTCTCGCAAGTTATTTTGTTTTATTTCACATAGTCGTGTAGATTTCATCAAGGTGTACTGTTTGTTTCTTTTGTGAATAAGTTTGTGGGTTCAGTTCAGCGGTCTTGGCGCAATAATCGTCATTTGGGACTGCACATGGAGACTATTTTATTGAAGTAGAATTATTTAATGGAGAATTCTAGATTATGGATGTCTTGAAGCGCATTTCCTTATAATTTAATAGGACCATCCACATGAAAGGGATATAATGAGGAGGGTTGAAATACTTTCAGATTTTCGAATCACAAGATGCATTTCCTTGACTTTACTATGAATTCAGAAACTAGAGATTTGCATTTTCAAAACCTTTGGTAAAACAAGAAGTTAATTCTTAAGTCACTTCCTCATTTGTTCACTTGTGCTGCGTCATGTTCGTGGTGTAGGCACGCTTTTCTTGTTTACTCCTTTTGTTAGAAAGTCAAGTGCCAGGGGCACCCAATGTTGCCAGCTATCTGGGAAACATGCTTTGCAAACTTAAATATCGTTTTACACATTAGCTGCATGAAATTAAGATAAAACGAATTACGGAATTGGTTTTCAAACTATTCAATATATTTGACCTAAATATATAGAGAAATCTGTATTTTTTAATTAATTTTTTATATTATATGATGTTAACTTCTGTTTTAATTGCCATTAGTTCATGGCATTGGGTATAGCTAAGGTAGATCAGACGTGTATTGTTATCTAATTAATGTTTTGGTTCTGAAAACCGCCTTGGTTATACAAACTTTTAATTTATCAGTAAAATTAAACTCTTTGAGGCATTTAATTTGCTAGTGAGGATGAAATAGTGGTAACTCGTAAATCTTCAACATTAGATTTATATCGAACGAAAATATAATTTTCAGCATCATCTTTTATCAATAAATGCATACTCTCTGCATTTTATTGTACCTAAATTAATTTGTTCTACTACTTCGAATATGAATATATAAAATGTATCAGCTTGTGTAATCCATTCCTTGGAAGATCTTGCTTTGGTCGCTCTTCTTCCCTCAGTAGTGACGTCACTGGGCGCCATGTCTCCCTTTACTAACGTCCATCCTGACTACGCCTTCACTAGTTTACAACAGCCACAAAAACGTGGCGCCAAGGTTACGGAAATTTGTGAGCCATTGCAGCAGCGCTCGCATTTGTCCGCAAATTTACGCAGCCCTTTGGGATGATTGTCACTGTCAGGAGATGCGCAACTTCCAAGGTAGAATTCATGCATAAACGGGGGGAGGAGGCAGACGGGCCGCTGCCCTCACGAAAATTTGCAATGGAGCTCCATAACCCTATGTAATAGAATATTTTATTTGGTAAATTCCTTATTTTCCCCCTGTTTTGCAATATACAATTTTGAAATTGATTGACGACACGCAGAGTAGAGGCTTTTTATACCCTTTGGCAGCCTTGAAAATGGTTCAACAAAAATTTAATTATTTTATTATTAATGTTAATAATATTTTAGTAATTGCATTAATTATTATAACATTAAGAAGAACATTAATGGCATTAACTATTAAGAATATAATACTGTCAATTATTGTATCATTAATGTTGTAATTCCAATCTCAGTACAGAATGTTTTATTAACTTCCTAACACAGAAATGTAGTACTCGTAGGCTCTCGTCTTGCTTTAGGCTGCGCACACTTTTGGATATACTATCTACAAGCGATATTTTGTCCCTTTGTAATGTTCAGCAAATCTGCTCTAACAGTTCTGAGCATCAAGCTTTAAGCGGACATCAGGCTTTAAGCCGGCATTTGAGATAAAAGTTCCGTTCAGATAAGAGATCCAGATAACGTCTTCTTCATACACAAGGTCCAGTCCATAAAAATTCAATATAACTAAAATATTGCAGCAAATATGAAATATAGTTTACATTACATTAACATTACTAAAGAAATGTCAACTTTAAGACGGAATGTTTTTTCATTGCCAAACAAAGTGCTTTTTGCTGTGATTTTGTAAAATGAATTAAATATAACGCCTGATAATATTGAAACCTGTATCACAAGAATTGTTTGTAAACTATTCAAGGATTTTCTTCGAGTCGGCAGCTTTGTGTGACGGCGTTTTATCCCGCTCAACACAACAGCTCATATTGTTCTATCAGCATTTACGCCGACATGCGTTTGAGATAAAGCGTTCGTGCAGATAAGAAAGCATTTACACGGTTTGAGACTCGCGACAGGCGAGCGGGCGTAATACTCACGGTGACATGGATGCGAGCGTGGGCGTTGGCTTGGGCGCCGGCGAGTGCGACGCTGCGGGCTATTCCGGGCGGACGCACACACCAGCCGTTGGCGCTCAGGGTCGAGTGAGGCGCCGCAGAGCGCGCCTGGAGATGGCGCCGCGTGACCCTGGTGGCGCGCGGCGGTACTACGCTGCAGCGGAAGCGACGTTGATTGATAAACGCCTGCTGCGGTAGGGTCCTCGTGCACTCCCGCCGGGGACGCCTCTTGCACTCTCGCCCAGTTAGCCGTGTTGGAGGGTAAAATGCCTCCGATCGGGAGTGAAATCCGTCCAATGGGCGTTATATGCCGCGCGTAGGGCGAAGCAGCATTTGGGATGGGCGTTGAGGAGAATTTCATATCATTTTTAAACATGTGTTCGATCTGTTCCGACCCTGTGTGTGTTGGAACCCACAATAAAACCAATATTAAACAGATAAGAAATCTTCATCAATTGTTTTCATTGATCTATCGATTAATGTTTCCGGGCGCGTCAACTGTTAAGCTCAATAGCTCCGTACGTGTCTGGGTATGTTTAACTGTGGGAGGTGGTGATGACCTTCCCTCGCTGGATGGCGTAATCCAGTGCCGACTTGCGAGGCTTTCCCAACTAAGTATCTCCATTCAGGGGGGCAGCGCACCAGCCGGGACAATCACTAAGCTCCTGACAAGTGTGGTAGTGTAGTGCACGTGGGTGAAGTGTGCGTAAGTAAGGGGTAGGATAAGGAAGAGGAAGAAAAAATCGCGAGCCATCTGTGGCCCGTTTGTTAGTGTTCTTCTCCGGAGTTCCCCTGGTGTTGATCGGAGAAAACTACTGATCAGTGCAACCGTTCGCTAGAATTCCCCTACAGACAGAACAGCGGCTGAATTCGACCTAGCTGACAAGCTAGTATCGAAAATCCTGCCACTTTTGAGAGTGGAACCCTAGGACCTCCCGGTCAGAGGCACTGCAGTGACATTCATCAATTGTTTTAATTTCTCAACTCCAACACACTGCTAGGCTATCGAGTTGCTATTGAATAGCAGCAGCGTTTCAAGTTACCCTACTCCCCTGTTGACTCGAGAATGTCGTCCAGAAACCAATTGGTAGCTGGCATGATTCCAAAGCAACCACTCGTCCAATTATCAAAGAAAGGCCTTGCATTTCAATTGTCTACGAAATAATAAACGGTAGTATGTCGGATTAAACGATGAACGCCGTAACTTTTTTCTTTTAGTTTCAGACATCCCCTAGAAACTCTTTTATTGTGTATGCTGTTTTGTTGTGTACGCTTATTTATGCTGTTAATGCATTATTTACATTGTGAACGAGGCCATAGTGGCTCAAGAGCATGCACAAACCTTCCGTATGCGATTTCTTTTCTGAATCTTAATTATGCAAAATCTTCATGCAAAAGGGCTGGATGCCACCAAATTTTGTGGTCGGTCTTACAGAGAGAAGAGAAATTAAATTAGTAGAACTAAGCCTATTTATTTGCTTAGCAATAGTAAAGCAAAGTTGCGAAAATGTATTTATCATTTTGTGCAATGACACTGCACGAGGTCCAATAAACCGCTAAATCTTAAAAATGAACTCAATTGATTGATTGTTTGATTAGTGATTACGTGTGCGTCAATTGTTAATGTCATTAATTCGGTAAGTGTAGTCATTGTAGTAGTTTCTTTCTTCGGGAGGTTCTTCCCTCATTGTACGATGACATGCGGCGCCGATCTACACGTCGGCTAGCGAGGTTTTCCCCCAAGCGTTCCAATCAAGACATGCTCTATGCTCCCGACTGGTCTCCCGGTCTGTGTGGTAGTGGGGGTCATGTAAGTGTGTGTGTAAGTAAGGGGTGAGGTTAGGATAGGGAATGGGAAGGAAAGATCGCGCGCGGTCCATGGCCCGTTTTTTAAGGAGCTGCTTCGGTATTTGCCTGAAACTGATCGGAAAAAACACGGAAAACTACTGTTCCAAGCAGCTGGCGGCTAGAATTTATTTACAGTCAGCAGATGAATTCGATCTAGCTAGTGGCGAAAATCTTGCCACTGTCATGATCGACGGTTATCTCCCACCAGCCGGGACAAGCTCTAAGCTCCCGACCGCTCTCCCGCCAAGTGTGGCAATGTAGTGTATGTTAGTGTACGTATGTAAGTAAGAGGTGAAGATAGATGAAGGGAGAGGAAAGAAAGATCACGTGCTGTCCGTGGCCCGTTTGTTAGGGTTCTGCTACAGCATTCGGCAAGTATTGATCAGAGAAATCACACAAAACTACCTATCAGAGCAGCCAGCCGCTAGAATTCTCCTCAGAACAGCGACTGAAATTGCAGAGATATATTATTCTGACAGGAGGGGCACGGAAACAAGTATCGATGAAACGGGATTTTTTTTCTATTGATGTAGTAAACGAAATTCCACTTTCCATTCAAAAAGTTATTTACTTTCAAGTGTATTTTTACTTTGTTGTCTATTTAATACTTTTGTTACATTGATATTGCATGGCATGAAGAAGGTTAAAAAAATAATAAAACAAAATTTTTATAGAACAAAATTTCTATAGAAATTTTGTTTTATTTATTTTCTTGAATTTCTGTAGATATTCTCTGTATCTAGAAGTGTTGAATTATCGGTAGATATTAGTGAAAAACATTCTGTCATTCATTCGATTACCTTATATTTGAAATGCAAAATGTTCGCTTCTTCCTAAAGCCATTTCGAATCGAGATCTATTTTAGCAAACTTCAAAAATGGCGCTATTCTTATCATCTATCTAATGTTACCTTCCTTTACATCGGTTTTGTCGATGATCGAAATTTTAGAATATTAAGCATTCCAAAGATAAAAAGGCTCTGTCCCAAGTTAGCAAAGAAGATTAGTATAGCAAAGAATCGTTACTAACAACATAACCATTTGCTTCAAAAACATAGCATTAATTATACAAAAAGTATTACTCTATTTCTTAGTGATTCACTCTATAATTCAGGCAATTACTATTTGCAACACCATTGCCCCTATTTTCTTCACAATTATAACGTTATTTGCTAGATCGGCAGTCCACTTTCTCCTGATACTATTACGCAACTTAGGAACACGACCTTCGCAAATCACAGACAAGTTTTTGCAAACGACCGCGAAGTAACTTTCACTCTCTCCCAAGAAATGTGACGACAGCACTCTGTGAACGATCCCCAGCATTCTGTGCTTCTGGCACCTCCACCTGTCGCCGCGTAGAATCGGTCTCCCGTTTTCGGTCGAACGCGTTAGATCTTCCCCCGCTGGGTGGCGAGATTCGGCGCCAACCTACTATCGACTATTTCCCACCAGCGAGCGGGGCACCACATCAGCCGCGACAAGCGGTTTAGTTCCCGTCAGGTCTCCCAGCATGTATGGTAGTGTAGTGCATGTAAGTGTAAGTCCGTGTATGTAAGGGGTGAGGATAGGACAAGGGAGAGGAAGGAAAGAGCGCGCGCGGTCCGTGGCCCGTTTGTTCGGGTACTGCTCCAGCATTCGCGTGGTGTTGATCGGAGAAACTACTGAAAACTACCGATCAGAATAGCCGGCCTCTAAAATTTGCCCCCAGAATTTGACGTAGCTGTCTAGCTCGTGTCGAAAATCCTGCCACCGGCGGGACTCGAACCTACGACCTCCCGGTAGGAGGCATCGCAGTCGGTGCCATGAGCCGCCTCCCCCGGCCTTACTCCGGCCGTATATGTAACGAGTCTATTCATTCTGGGGATAAGTGAGAGTGTCACTTGGGCGTGCTTGCACGTCTCCAGATTAAGTGTCCCGAATTCGTCCACAGATGCCCAGTTTTTCCCGGCGGCCAAACTCTCTATCCTACAACCCTCGTGTCATTCGTTGCTCGAAAACTTCAATTTCCGTAATCACTCACTTCTGCCTGTCGTCTGCACATAGTCCTGTATTTTCCACTGACTCCGATTCTTCTTCGTTTTTCGTCACCTCCACTTCTACCACGTCTCTGTCATCATCACTGCATCCTCGTACCTCCCCGAAATCATTTCTCCGATGATTCCTTCTCTCCTTCTTCCATTTCACCTTACTACACAGCACTTCATTTCTTCCTGTTCTTTGCATAGATGCTTCATTTCATCATCGTTCTCCAGCCGCCAACATTTTATTTTCCTTTGCCTTCACCTTTGATTATTGCTTCTGAACCTCTGCTCCCGCAGTCGCCAGAGGAACAGCAGTGCCTCACAGCCACCGCAGACCGGGAAAAACCCAACCGCGCAATCACTAACCTACCTAGCCCATGCTACGGTCATTCAACTCATTCGAGCGGTACTCAACTGTTCTCCGAAAGGACGCAGTTCCACATTGCCCAGGTCGGTGCAAGCTCTCGATTACGTCACGATCCGAGGTTTTAGCGAAAGGTGTATCTCCTTTCTAGCTCCCTTCTGTGGAATTCAAAGTAGAAACACATTAATTGAATCGGATGGTAGGTAATACGAAAGATAAATCTACCCTGCAGGCGAATATTGTCATAAAATTAACTAGTTTTTCTCTAGGCAATATGATATCTCCTGTAGGTTCAAAAGAAAAAGAAGAGACATACAATTTTGAAACTCTTCTGTTCTTCTAATACTGCCAAAAGCAATTCGTAAAGTTATAAAAATTGTGAATACAAACATTTGTTTACAAAACTATCAATTTTCTTATTGATACAAGCAATATTAATATAATAATTATTACTCTTACAGTAATACAGTTAACACACTATAATCCGCTAGTGTACAAGTTCGTCCCTTTCAGAAATCCTGCGGTGTGTGTGAAAGTGGGCCATAACAAGCCACAAATTGTGGGGCGCTACTTTACCGACTGTGACAGTTGCAATTAACTTTTTATCAAGCGCTGTGCCAAATCAGGAAAACGATAACACGTGTCGTTTGACAAAAGTATGAATTATAAATATCCTTTGGGAAATGGTGTTAAATCTAAAGCTCATTTAAGTAGAGTCACTTTCTATACTTTACAAGTTACTGTCCTTACTGCACCTAAGCGCATTACCGTATTATAACTTTTGTGCTCCCGTATACATACGCATATACGGAATAGTATACGTACTATAGAGAACGTTATGTAATGCTGCGCGAAAAAAAGGCGGATTTTCGGCAGAAAGAATTTATTACCGGGCGCTGATAACGAAAACGTGAATAAACCCACTTGCTGACTTAAGGGGTAAAAATCACCAAACATGTAGCCTAGCCAGAATCCCTGTTTTTTGGGTTCTCGAAACAGAATAATCAATTGACGGCAAAACGTCCGTCTGTCTGTACGTCTACGTTCCCGTCTGAGAACACTACTAGTGCCTAAATCATGCTTAGTATTTTCTCCCAATTGAAGAAACCCCTGTCCATCTGGCTCGAGTCGAAGCGTAGAGATTTTGAAAACATTCTTTAAAATTTGGGACTTAACATGAAGCCCTCCACACATTTTCAAAATTATCTCCAAAATGGCTGCAATTTTTTTCTTTAAATGGCGTAGGTCCGATGTTCACGGTTAACTCTAAATTTTCGAAAACTTCAAAAGTATGAGTTTTTCATTCATATGAAATTTGTTGTCCATAATAAATTCTTTCATTAAGATCCTGCATATCTCTTTGAAACTTTTAATAGTTTTCGTGCAATATTGCGTGCAATATTTGCAATTAAAAAATACAAAAACAAGACTTTCTCAAAAGCGGCTCCATTTTTTTGCTGTAAAATTTTGGTAGAGGAAGTGAGAAGAAATGTAAGAGGACATAAACGCCATATTGTTCTATTCTCTTGTTTTTCCAAAAATTACAAAAAAAGATATTTTTTTTACATGTCTCTCATGACGTTAATATTAATATTAGCGGTAATTTGTCCCCTTTATTATAGTTATGAGTACATGTGTTTTAAATAACCTCAAGTAAAGTTTCTCGAAAACTCAATAGTTTTCTGTAAAAACTAGCTCAAAATTCAGCATTTTCTGAAATGCTCAGAAGCCATTTTCTCAAAAATGACTCGAAATTTTTTCCTCAAACTCTTCGAACGGATCGTGTTAATTGCACTATTTAATATGATGTGAAGTTCATTTCGGGGTATTTTTGTTATTTTTTAAAAGTGTCATAAATGTAATTTATTTGAAGATCTCTCATGCCGTTTTTATGCACATTTCCAGCAATTTGAAAACACTACTGTATTTGTCAGTTAATTTACATAAAATTATTTCGAATGAAATTTGCGAAAACTTAATGCTTTTCTGTGAAAAAAAGCTTCAAATTTCGAATTAGCGAATTAGCGTAGCGTTTAAACGACGTAGTTTTTTTAAATGACTCCAAATTTTTTAAACAAAATTGCCATTTAGGACAAGTTTTTACAGTTATTTAATATTATCAAAATAATATTTCAGGTCTACAATTAGGAAATCAAAAAATTAAGAAAATGTCAGGAAATTTTACTTTGAGAGTGGTAGATGGCAGCTGGCAAGAGTATGTGGCAAGTCCGAGTAGCTAGGCGATGCCAAAGAAAATAGAAAACTAATACGGAAAAGATTGCCATTCTACTGCTCCACTAGTTACATTTATTATATAGTTTTTTCTTACCGTCTAGTAACCCCGCCGGGTTGGGGGTGGGGGTCGGGAAATTAATATGATCAGCGCCAGTGGGTCCTGGAGACGTGGCATTACCCCGCAATCAGGAGAAATTGAGGAAATTGAGAAGGCACTTATTCCACGCATTTGAGAGGCGTATGTCTCCCGCAACCGGCTTCAGCGGCTCAAGGTGATGTCACTGCAGTGCCTCTGATCGGGAGGTCCTACGGTTCGAGTTCCGAGCTGGCAGAGTTTTCACTCTAGCTTCATAGCTAGGTCGAGTTCAGCCGCTGTCAAGAGACGACTGGCTGCCCAGATCAGTAGTTTTCTGTAGTTTCTCCAATCAACGCCAGGCGAATGCCGAACTAGTATCGTAACAATCGGGCCACGGACCGTGCGCTATCCGTGGATTTTCCTTGACTCTGCTCTTGGTACGTCTCCATCTCAACGACCAGTGGAGTATTTAGGGACTTCGCATACTTGTCCGGTAGCCTACTTACCTGCCCGAATGTACTTTTTCTTTGCAGATACATAAATACGGGAGGACCAGAGAATTTATCATGTTACTCCGCCTGTTGAATGTAATCTGCTCGGAATAAAGTAGAATTATAGGAAATTGTTAAAAAATAAATATTGGGAGAAATGAAATTGTACAAATTCGGAAGATAAAGTAAATATTTAACAAATAAGAAAAATTGAATAGAAAAACCGATGTATTATGTCATTCTAATGAACATTCTAACGAACGTTTCTTTTCTTTAGTGTTATGGGAATTAATATCGCTTTTCGAGTAATAACTGTTAAGTGAAATCTCCAAAAGGCAGTCATGGCCACCTATACAATTATACCATTCCAGGAACAATTTGTACACTGTTCATTAAAACCACGCACCACTTGCTCTGGGCGCAGTACCCATAAATTCTAGTAAGCTACGGATTTGACTATGACATGCCTGTTTTACAATATGTAATGTATGCATAAATGTGCCGTCCAGAAACTGAAGCAAAAAATGCCTAACAAGGAAAAAAATGATATAAAAATATTTTATTTTCATGATGTTACTGAGAACAAGTTAACATGGAAATAATTAAAATTTTCTAGATAATAAATTGTTTTTCATGTGGTGCAATTAAGTTAATTTTTTATTAAGAACTTTTTAGATGGTGAATTTAATTTATTTTATGGGGACAATACGATTCTACGAAAAAGAATATTTCGGGGAAGAGGAAAATTTAATCTTTTGAATGTGGGAGTTTCGGACATGGTGGGCATAACTCTTTTTAAAGAGAGAGGAATGTGTGGATGGAGAACCTATTATTTTTAAAGACACGATTGTGCTGGATATTAAAATTAATAAATCTGATTCTCATAACATGAAAGATTTTTTTATTCAATATAACTGAGAAAAATAACATTATTGTCATTTACCAAGATGTGCACTACATCATAAATTGAGTAATAAGGTATATAAAATTGAACACGAAAATGTTAGTTGTACTTTAATTGCAATATATACAGTTTAATTTAAATGTACACCTGTTACAACATTCTCGGTTTTTCTAATACTGGCAAAAGCAAACTATAGAGTTATAAAACTGATGCTTATAACTTACTTACAGAAGTATCAATGTCGTTGTACTATTGCAGAGAACATGATGATAGTAATGATAACACATAATTAACTATAATAATATCTTTTCATCACTACATATAACATCATACAATACTGCCTCTAAAGAAGAGCAACTAAAAGCTATCATACCTTCGTGTTTCAATAACATCAAATTATCTGTACACCATATCTGGAATCAATTGTGATTCGCATAATTTAATGTAGCTTTCAAACATTGAGTGAGATGCGCTTGTCTTAGGCCTATGGGTTTTGGTTTTATCGTCTTTGGTCATTTACAGAATTTATTTCCTGTAATACTTTGTTACTGGAACAATATAATGTCAGTTAGTGCAAAACAAACATAGTTTCAGACTTGAATGAAAATGATATTATAAAAATAATTCTCTTAAATTGTCATTCAATTTTTTTTACGATTTTACACTAGAGATACGCAATGTAAAATGCATACAGTTAATGAAAAAAGAGCTATATATGAAGGAAACCTATTTTTAATTACGTTTAAAGGATCATAATTACACAAAACTATACATTAATTGCTTGAATTACAATACACTTCTTTTCCACGCTACAGTTTGACATGTATTTCGCAAGAAAATATCTAATATTTCACCCAAGCTAGAACGTTTAGAATAAAATATTTTTTCCAAAGGCAGACTTGTGTAAGGCAGTTTACATATTCAGGATCATTAAGATCGCAATTATTCGCATGAACTGTTAATAATAAAATTACTTAGTTAATTTAATTCAAAGAATTATTTGGATGTCGTATCTCTACCTCACGTTCAAAGGTATTTTCTGTATAATTTAGAAGTATTTCAAGTTTCACAGAAACAGCTCTTCGAAATATGTTTGTTTTCAATTAACATATATATTAATACTTTCCATTGAATACTTTTTCTTTAACTATTCAAATATATAGCTTTACAAACGTATTTTACAAAAATCTAGATCTAAATTATAGAGATTCTGATAATAAAATAGAACTAAATTAACACATGAATTGTATGAACATCATTATGAAACGTGATTTCGTAATCGAAGTAGTAGACACAAAGGAAAAATGCCTATACGTAAATATAATATATACATCTTCTAGTCGTTAAAATGTGTCGATAAAATTGTGTTCAAAATATGACTAATGAAATCTTTTAAATGTATCGACCAATAATAAAACATTAAGTTTTTAGTGGTTTATGAGAAAACATGTAGTTATTGAAGAAAATACGTTTGTGTAGATCGCAAATGTTATAATATGTTTTGTATATTTCGACTTATTGGTCAAAAACTTCACAATGCCATCCCAATGAGCACTCAGTACTCGACAAGGAGTTATTTTTAATCTTTAATACATTCGGCACTTAGTTTCTTTATTGAGCCTATGTTTTCCTTGGAAAAGTACCATTCATGCAATCTATTCGAAAACGCCCTGTTCATCGAAAAAAGGAAGTAAATTTTGAAAAGCCTCTTGAAAGTTTTTACTTTTGTACACTTTCTCAAAAATATTCATTCCTTCTCCTTTCTGCACCTGTTCCTCTGTGAACTTAGACAAGTCAGGGGAATCTTCTGGATCGGCTAATACAACTGCCATAGTCGTGAGTACGGAAATGAATCCAAAATATAATGTACGGTTTATGTCTTTGCGAATTTCATCAAAGGTGATGAGAGGTCCACTATAACGCAAGTCTTTTGCGCATCGCTTAAACTCGTCACAGTACTCGTGCAGAAGATCATCAAAATGGCGCTCGCGTATATCATTTCGAGGACTTGAGAACAGAAAGTAGTTGAGATCTTGACCAGGAGACGCCTCTCGCGTTAACTGGTAGTCGACGAATCGTAAGTCAATGGGCTCTCCAGAATCTGAGTATTTGAAAAGAATATTATTTACCCAACTGTCGCCATGAACTAAAACTGTCCTGCCTCCTTGAACATGCTTGCATGTCTCTATTAGCTTATCAATACTCTTTGGTATTAATGCTTCTAATTTGTCGGCTATCTCAGCGAAACCCTTCCATTCCCTGATTTCCTCCGCAATGCATTTTATCTGAGGGGGAATGAACTGCTGTAGTCTCTCTCTGTTGAGTTCACTATACATTCTGTCGTCAAATTGCGACATGTAACCGGGATGCTCCTCACAATAGCTGAGAGATAAGGCGTGCAAGCGAGCCAAAGTCTGCACAACCAGTTTGGAGTGAGCGAAGTCCAGGCGGTCTCTTCTTGGGGCCATGACGAAGCCCTCGGGCCGCAGGTCGTCCAAGACCAAGGTGTCAGGTCGGCTCGTTTTGTGGCTGAGGGCAGAAAACCTTTTGAACGATTTACCTCCCAGACGTTCGTCAGCAAATGCATAGAGCCGTGGCAGCACTTCGTCGTAAATATCAGCTTCTCGTCTGAAACAGCCGACTTCTTCGACGAAAGTCGCCATGAACTCCCCCGCAGGAAGACCTTTGACGATGAGATGTTTCACCTGCGTCTCTTCCGAGCCCGCCGGCTGGTACTCGACGCGCGCTCTGTACAGCACACTGAGGTAGTTCTCGCCCTTGCCGACGGCGCGCTGCACGTCCAAGTGCACTAGCGTTCCGCCGTCCAGCACCTGGCGCAGCAAGTCGCCGTCCACCCACGCGCCTTCCTCCTCCTGGTCGTCCTCGCCCTCCTGGCGCGGACGCTGCTCAGCGGCTCTGAAGCAAGGAGGAAGCGATGTCGATTAGAAGCATGACATTACGCTAGAGTGTGATGGGAACCAAAAGTAAACTAACAAGGCCACAGACTGGCTGAGGCTTTCCGTGAATTCATTTGTTTCCTTATTTCCTTAGCACGGGATAGCTCTTTGATATCTCCTTACCCTCTTCCATGTTGCCATCTATTGGCACATAAAAGACATTTTTTTCACATTTTCTCAATCTTTCGCTTCCCTAATGAGAAAGTTGAAATAGGACTTAAAGAATCCATAGAAAAGTAATATCTGGTCCTGTATGCAAATTTTTACTCAAAAATTTAGAGCTGTTTTTGATAAAATGGCTTAGGAACATAATGGAAAATGTGAAATTTTGAGCTAATCTTCACAGAGATCTTTTGAGTTTTTGAGAAATTTAGTCAGAAATTATGTGAAGTACAAATTCCTTCACGTGTGCAATACAAATTTTCACGAGCCATGACAGAATACATTTATGTAATTTTTAAAATCTCGAAAGTATACATAAAATGGTTAATGCTACTCAGAGCATTTATCTTTATCCATACAAATGGTTTCAAGAAAACATTTGAAACATTTTTCGAGAAAATGTTTTAGAGTTTCTGAAAATGCACAATATTGCACTTATTTTCACATAAAACTTTTGAATTTTTTTGAAATCCGCGATTTTTCGTCATAAAATCCCTAAATGCAGGGCATTGGAAACAAAAACGTGAATAAATCTTGTATTTATATGTTATAGATTACTTTCTCTAACAGACTTTGTAGTCAATGTTCAGTGGGTTCTTAATACCGAAAAATCAATTGACGGCCAAAATGTATGTGTCTATCTTTTTGTAGTGAATGTAAATATTCATTTTTTTCGGCGTCCTTACAACTACAATAAATAATACAGAGATTATTTCATTAATACAATCTGTTGTTCAAAGACAGATATTGAATTTATTTCAAGTAGATAAGATCAAGATCAATTCAAGTAGAATTTTTCAAAAATATGAGTGAATTTGTAAAATATAGATAATTTATAAATTATTTTCTTAAAAAAGACTCCAAATTCTTTTTTTTTAATTGTATCTTCAATATTGTTTTTGTTGTGGGAAAAGATGAACAAATTTTCAACTTTTTATTTTTTTTAAATCAGGAATTTAAACGAAAATGACCCCTTGATTGAAATACCTGATTTTTCGAAAACAACCAGAAGTTACTGTTTTTGTCTTTCTACAACTACAAGGGGAGATTTTTCCTTAATAAATCTGTTGTTTAAACAGATCTTGAAAAGCGGTGTACACTTTTCCAAAAATATTAATAGTTTTCACGAAATTATGCGTGAAATATATGTAATTTCTAAGCAATTATTTTCGCAAAAAACTGTTTCAATATTTCCTTCAAATTTTCTTCTTTAATGTACCAAAAATACCTATGTTAGAAAATTTGAAAAATTACCGTTGAGAAAATACAATATTGATTCTGGAGACTTTTACTTAAAAGTATGGCTATAAAGTCAGATATTTAAATAATGGTGGTGCAATTTTTTTAAAAGGTAGTTTTTGCGTTATTTCTGCTTGAAGTTAATTGATTTATAAAAAAATCTCTAAAACGGCTCCAATTCTTCGATATAGTAAAGGACGCTTAAAAATGGCTTCGTTGAAATTTTGAATTATCAAAATGAAAAAGGTAAAATTAATGCGAGAAATTAATTTATATTGTAGCTTCACTAATTATACCAGACCGATTTCGTATACGAGAGGAAGATTCACACAAGTATCATTCTTGACTAGGTAAAGTAGTTTTATCATGTGTAATATTTTATTATATTTCATTCCAACTTGTAACAAAATACAAAATAAATATGGAATGGGGGTTATGATAGAACAAATAGTTTTCTTTTTATTTGTTGCTCCCATTTGAATTTCACTAAAAATTGCGCGAAACGTAGTAATATGTAAAAAAAAGTGCATGCCATTAATAAAGATAAGGTTATGAGGAAATTAGGATGAGGGACTTCTTTCGTTTTGACTTCTTTAAGAAATCTCTAACTGCAGCTATGAGGGTATCAAATATATTTGAAACACTTGTAATTTTAGACAACTCTGTAAATGTGTATACAAGGCCTACTTCATCATTTTGACTGCTATATTTTAACATGTAACTTTAAGAACAAATTGGAGCCATTTTATTGAGAAACTTTTGAAAATGGCACAGAGGTTTTATATGAAGTGCTCCCCAAAACTAAAGATTAGTTTTAAATTAGCAGGGTGTTAACTCTGGTCTAATCGATTAGGAATTATTCATTTTGGAGAAATAGTTTAAGCGCTATTGTTATTTGCAGACAGAAGTTTAAAAAAGTTTTTTGTTGGTATTAAAGAACTTTAAAAAGTGAAATCCGTTAAAATCTCAACAGTGATTATTCGCAGCATTAGAAACCTTACTCAATACTACATACATCTCTGTATAGTATTTGAGTAACTGCGAGTGTGCGTGCGTTCGTTCGCCCGAGACCGTCTCCCACGGTTAGACCAGTCCCCGACCACCAATCGAGACATATGAGGTCATTTGATACCTCTCAGCCTTCTGGGAGGAAGTGATAATTTGTTGATCCGGTCAGAAGATTCTAAGAAATTTCCAAAAACATTTTGGCGTATTTTGGCGCTGCGATCTTTGTGACTTGATGGGTAATGAAATCAACGCCACCTAAATAGATCTATGTAGGTGGCGTTGATAACTCCCTGTACTCACCGGTAATTTTCGCTTTTCGACGATATAATTTCATTTAATGGGGCAACTGTATGTTTCCACATTTAAATTAACAAGTGAATTGTGCAGCAGAATTCTTTTCATTTTCATCCATACGAGTATTACAGTATTTTTTAAAACAAATTTGCAAAACCCTACGATGAGTTTTGCCTTGGAATTTAATTATTGGCCGATTAAATTTTAAGAACTTCCAATGAATATGGAGGAAACCAAAGAGTGAGTAATTGCTAGTTATATATGTTCTTACGTTCGAATTCTCACATTTACGTTCTTAACCGTAAAAATACCTGTTTTCAAATGAACGTCACTAACAACATTTTTTAAGGTCCCATTTTAATAACTTGGTCGTATAGGGACTAGGAATGTCGATATTTTAAAACATCGATGTTTTTGTTGCAACAACCGTCAATGAAAAAAAAACAGTTGCACTACACCAAATCCATGATACTTTAACACGTTTCCTTGTTGAAAAACATTGATAGTTTTTAGTTGATGTATTTTGAACATCGATGTTTTAATTTTGGAGATAGAAGTTTGCTAACATCAAGTTTTGTTATCGATGTCACATCACTAATAGCGACCACTGTGATTGTTTTTAACTGTAGGGGAAACTGTAGGAAGAACACATAAGGACAATATGAACACACACAAACATTTATGCTCGGGACGGGATTCGGACCCTCAACCCTTCGAACCGAGGCAGCTACGGCCCTCAGCCTTAGCGGTCTCAACTATCCAGACCATCAACTTATTCTTATTAAACTTAAGTAACACCTTATTAACATAAACATACAAAGCAGTCGCCTTTTATTATTTATATAGAGTCGCCTATAAAACCATTAATAGAGCAATTTGCGAAATTGAAGTTAACACAAATTACACTGAGTTTGTGAAGTTTTAATCTTCTCAAAAATTCGGGTACCAAAATATGGAAGTGTTAAGAAAATCCGGGGAAGAATCAAAAATAGTTACAGTAGATTTTGTGACAAAATTTTCGGAACAAACTGAGAATGATCTCATAAGAGAATTGCACTGAAGAACAGCTTTCAGATGATATTTTATGTGGATTTTCGTGCATATTAGCAAAGAAATGTAATGTAACTGTACTGAATTCTAACTCCACATCATCCGTACCCGCATGTATTTTGTACCGCGATTACAATTTTTAAATTACAAGTTCATATCCCGTATGGAGCATACAAAACCTTTGGGCATTGGGAATTTTTGAACAGGATCATTTTTGACGGCAACATTATCAGCTACTACGATTCGTTGGTAAGTCTAATGCAAGATACTATAAGAACTAATTTGAACGAAGCTACGCGTGAAAGAAATGAACTATGAATGAAAGACATTTTCACTAACTCGTGGCAATACATTTAAAAGCGTTTACAGCGTTGGTGACGCCGGGTTCAACGACTTATTTCGTATTCACGTGCATTTCTGAGAATGTAAAAATTATAACTGGTAGATTGAAAGAGGACAATTAAGAAGCGTTTTTAACCTTATTAATAAAACTAAATATGTTTATGTTATCTTTATACAAAAAAATTGCGAAACTGTAGAAATGTGCATTCAGTGAAGTTTTTTTATTTTTTTTCAACAATCAATTTGACGGAAACACATTCACTCGCTAGCATAATTAGCAACATAAAATTGGCAAATTCAAATGAATAAAATACAAACAAATAAATACAGTAAAGTATTTTATGTAAAACGAATTCTAAAATTATCATAGAATTAATGTTTCAAAAACTAATTCTGCATAGACCAATAAGGTCGTTTTTTTAAATCTACAGCGCAAGTATGTCAAGAGTAAGTTTAAACATTCACACATCAAGAAACACAGTTTTGACTTTATCAATGTTAACATCCTGTCATTTTGTTCTTCCATGCTGTCCAAATGCAAAACATTGGAATAACCGCTCACTTTTACGACACTCATAACATCTGCTGCACTCTCTTTGCTATCGTTTCTTACATCTTCTCTAGTACTCTTACGTCAAATTAAAAAAATACAACCTTCAAATAACAGTAATAAACGTTTTTTCAAGAGGCTAAAATGAGATTGTACTAGTTTATAGAGGTTTCTCCTTGCTCATGTAGTCAGTCATGTAGTCAGAAAATAATGTATACAATTATACGTTTCAGTATCAAATTTGGGTTATTCACCACCCTAGAAGGCAATCTGACCGACTTGGATGGCCCTTGACTAAGAGAGAGAGAGAGTACCGACTCAGTGCTTCGGACCGAAGGGTTGTATACCGGAAGAGATGGCTCAGGGCATCAACTCATGTCACTGCAGTCCTTCTGACAGGGAGGTCCTAGGTTCGAATTCAGACGGTGGCCTAGCTTGTCAGCTAGGTCGAATTCAGTCGCTGCCAGGAAAATAATTCTAGCAACCGGCTGCTCTGATCGGTTTCTGATTCGTCGTTTCTCCCATCAACACCAGGCGAATACTGGAACTGTCCTCATCCAAACCGGCCACGGACCGCGCGCTATATTTCCTTGTCCCTTACACACACATTTATACTAACAGATACTATACAAGCACACATGCCTGGAGAAAACACACTGGCCACAAGCCGAAGGGTTGTGGTTTCGAGTCCTGCGGTCCCCTTGTGTCTTGTATGTATTATGTGTTGTCGCAGAGGGCCTCATGCTCTGCTGACCCCGGATCGGAGGAGCCTATTGTATGGTGGGTGTCTAGTGAATGGCCGAATATGCGTCCCATCGGGACGTAAAGGCTAACAAGGCAATCGAGCCTAAAAAGGAGAGCCATAATAAAGTGTTGCCTCGAGGCCCTGATAAGTGTGACGAACGCATCTCTACCGCTCTTTTTCCGCGTTGTCTGCGTTGTCGCCTGATGACCTCTACCGTTTGGGCTCGTAGACAAAGCGTTTATTAACTAATTCTCCCTAATTGAATTTATTTAGCCCCTTGGTCGTCGGTCATACGCATCTCCCAAGAGGAATTCCAAACATAATTTCACAACAGGCATGTTTCCCAAAGGAGCACAGAACCCTAGGAAATGGTCAGCTTTTATACTCTTTGTTGGTAAAATTTAAATTTCATTACTGGGTTTTGAATTTGAATTGAGTAAACATTAAAATATTTCTCCGAACTCATTACAAAAACTAAATTTGTGGTGAGAATTGCTGCGGTTTCTAGGAACGTTTCTAGGAACGTACGTGTCATCTAATGAAGTCCATTCATAGTTGATTTAATTCATGTTAATACTCTGTTTAAAACAAAAACATGTACGGAAAATATATTCAATTTCGCAATATATTTAGAGTAGGTATTTTATATATACACACAACTCTACACCGTAATGTATTTTGGTTGCCCATGGTATCTATAAAATGTCTTCGTATCAATATCTTCTTACATCTCTCAATTATGTCTTTCTCAATAATCTCCTTAAATTTTCTCCTACATCAAGAGAGTAAACTTTAACCTAAAACAACGAAATTATGTTTTTTACCCCAAATTTTAAGAAGAATTTTTCTTGTTGTAGTCTGCAGTACAATGCCCACCTCTTGCGTAAGTTACCAGCTTACGTAACAAATCACTATGACGCAGCGTTCTGGCAAGTCCTTGAATCGTTTCGGTCGACTCCTCAGGATGAATCTTAGGAGAAGGAACTGTGTAATATTCTGTGATAAAATATGGTAAATGTGATGTTTGTAAATCCTAAATTGATTATAATCAGTATATAATAAAACACCCAATCAATTTCTGACCTAAGAAAACAGGTGTATTGACAATATATTATATTAAGATCCTTTGGCATTCAGTTTCATTTGTACTTAACACATTAAAACATTAAAACGAAGAAGAATAATCGTGGCCCAAATATTCCCACTCTTTTCCAAACGTGAGCATGTATTTTTCTTAAAAAGAGTACGTGTCACGTCAATGTGCATTATTCACTATCTTATCTGATATTTTTGCTCACTCTTGTCGAGGTCGTTGCCCAGTTTTGATTCGAGTAACTCTCTTTCCATTTAAAATTCTCAAACGAGACTGTCTCCCTAAACGGCCAACCATGTGTGCTCTCCCAAACCCTCCCCTAAAGAAGTAAGATTTTTTTAAATATTCAGATGACAGAATGAAACCTCAAAAGTGGATATACGATAATTGCAGTTGATTCTAAAATGTATAGCCTTTACACGAGTGCGGATTACTCGTTCCCGATACAAAAATATGTTTTAAAAAAACTGAAAAGGCCGGCTAATTACAACCAAATGCGTAAACGAAAAATCTACGTTGGTATTTCTTTCACAGTAAGAATACGATGCAAATGGTAAAGCTATTTGCTTGTGCATGAGTACAATAAATTTGTGAAGGATAGTTGGGTAGCGTAATGACCTCTCTGATGTCCTATTCGTTTTCACATGTCAAACATATTTAATTAAAATAAGACCTTTTCCTAAACTTATTCTAAATGTTTTCAGATTTTGCAAAGTTCAGTTCACAAAAATTATAAAAATATATGTAGCGTTCTTTTTCTTGTTTTAAAAATTCAGAATTTATTCATTAAATGTATTTATTGTTTTGTTGAATTTGTAAATTGTAAAATGACAAGAATATGTAATGAAATGAAATGTGTAAATATTAATGTAATGTAAATTGTAAATGAGATATTGATTGCTTAGTGAAATGTAGTTGCACAGCAATCTAGAATAAATATAAAATAAAAATGTTAATCTTAATAAATTAAATCTAAAAATTATATTTTGTGGAAAAAATCTCTTTATGGGGAGACCTCAGGGGAGTTACATTTCAGAAAGAGTAAATAAAACCTCAAACAAACTGTGACGGAGTGAAAAAATTTCAAGCTTGAATAAAATGACAAAAATAATTTTATCTGTCATTGTGAAGAATGTTAAAACAGGCAATCAGGCTAGAAGTATTACATATGTATGCCATGTTACTATCTTATCGCAACTTTCATATCCTCTGAAATCATTTTCATTTTATTTTTATCTCTTGTTAGCTACTAAATGTTCCCTAACGGGAAAATGGTAATTAATTAAGGGTAATTACATTCTACAAGATTGCCTTGTAGTTGGATTTTCAGTCATTATTGTACACGTGTTTACAATTGAAATTTCCAGAATACTATTTTCAAATCTTATGTTATTTTAAAATCTGAAAATTTACATTTCACATGAAATCCGTGTTACATTTCACATGAACTACCGAATGTACTAATTATTCTTTAGTTTTCTGATTAATTGACTTAATTCAAACTGTAGCAGCAAATGCGTGAAGAACCTTTACAAATTTATGCCATCTGTAAATGCCTTTGACCTTATAGATCGTAAATAGAGAAGAACAAAACGTATGCAAGTATTATTTTCCAAAAATTTCTCATTTCAATATTTTTTAAATGGAAAAGTAATTTGTAATCAATCCCAACTCAAGCGAAGTGAACAATATAATTCGGTAAATAACAAAATTGCTGCGTGAGTGATAGATATGATGAAAGAAAATGGAATGAGTACGTCTTGCTTGACATTAATACAAATTTAGTAGCATCGAAGATGGTTTTCTAGAATGCTACAATGATATATTCTTATTTGAAATATGTTTATTGCAGTTTTTCGGTTGAATTCTTTAATTTAAAAATAAATGTGAATTTAACAGAAATATCATGTGTACATTCGTGAATAATAAAAGCAACAGTGAAGTAATCTTTCGGGTAAGAAACCTAAGAAATTTGTAGGAAATGTGACAAACTAGAATCGTAATCGTGTAATCTAAGTTGGACTATGGACTCCCGTTTGTTTCTATCAAAAAATTGATCGACCTTTTTCCTCCTCCATTTTTATCATAATTCTTCAGTTGATATTTCAAGAGTCATCATTACATTGTTTTACACATCCTGAAAATGATCAAAGTTAATCTTCGTCTTTCTCAAAGTTTATCTCTTAGAAAGAAATCGGGTTATCACATCTACTAACTGTGTTTTAGAAGGGAGGTCACAAAAGTGTCAACAATGTCTTTTTTCCCACTTAGTGATTATATCTTTAAATATACAGTCGCAATAATTTGAATTTTGTAACGAAGAACACTCTATAGAAAGTTGTGATCTCTCAATCCAATATGTTCCAGAAAAATCCAAATGTCAATGAGTTGTAATGTGAAGAGATAATTTAGAAGAAATGTAGTATTATCATAAAAATAATATTTTTAAATGTTCAAAAATCGCAGATAATTCAGTTCTATTTCAGTCTGTTTACAATTATTTATACCTCTTATTTATTATGGAATAATAAAATATTTTCTAGACATTTTAGTCGACTCTTAGAGAATTTAGAATCTTTGTTTATTTTCCCACCTCTCGTAATTTTAACTCAGGAAAAGTGGGACGAGTTACTTCGGATTAACTCTGTTGCCAAGCAGTTTTTGTTCAAGGAGATTCTTGGTCACCAGTCATAACATGTCTCACATAAGATTTTATGAAGCTTAATGGATTGTGTTTAATGTTCATGAGAATCTGAATGTAATTTTTTTCTAGTACCACTAAAGTTTCGCACCACATAATTCTGCGATTGTTCTTGGACATGCTGGTGAGACTATATTACGCTTTCGATTATGTTGTTGACTCATGAGTTTGAAATTATTCCGTCCATCATTAGCCAGTTAGATATTTGAATTATCAGCTGCCTCAATCTCTTCAGCATAGTATTTTATGTATCTTAAAGTATTATAAAATAATTATTGGAACTAACATAGATTATTCTTTCTCACATTAGTTTTACGATTCACAGAATCTAAAGAAAAACGAACTTTGCCTTCGCTATTTTTATTATCGTACTTCGCATAATACTAAACAAATTAAAGACACATTTTTGAAATAATTTGGAAAAATTCTTTTGAAGTTTCATGTAAAGATCTCCCCTAGATCAAAATATCCCTTTCAATTTCAAAAGGCAATTCACCATACTGACAAATCGACACATTTTAATTTTGGTCAAAATCCTGGGTACGGTTTAGCCGCTAGCTTTGTTCGCGGACGTACAGTCCGACAGACAAACAGATGAACGGACAGTTGGGCTGTCAGACCAGAGGATGGACAGGCTGACGGATCGACAGATAAACGTTTTGTCGTGAATTAATTTTTCGGTATCAATGACTCACAGAAAGTGAATTACGACTTATAACGAGATAAAAGAGGTTATTTACTACACATAGGACCAAGAATTTTTCACTTTTTAGGTAACAGAGGCTCACAAAACGACTTACAAGACGCTCTGTCGAAAATTCACCGATTTGCTGCAATACTTTTTAGACAATGATTTTAAAAGTATTTTTCTATATTACAAATGAAGTTTGCACGAATATATATTAGCATTTTGTAATTAAAATCCAAACTATTTCATTGTTTGAGTATTTTCTCCGAGTTTCTGGTTTTTTAACGAAACTAGAGACTTCTCTCAAAAGACTGGAAACAATTTTCTTTCAATTTCTGCGTGCAGTGGAAATTAGTAAAAAAAATATGTTAATGCCAACGAGTTGGATTGATAATTTGAGGTATCTATAGTGATAGCCCATTTTTAAATAAGGGAAATATTTTTTACGCTAGGGAACTTCACAACTTGATCAACCGAAGAAAAATGATCAGCACTTCTTACTTTTAAAACTTACATTGACTTTCTTTCGAGCTCGCTTCCATTTAAGTACGACTTCACAAGATGACTAATTCATACAAGTGATATTGGCAAACTCGAAATACTAATGTAAAAAACATTTAAATGTCCTTTAAGGATTCTCTTTTAGTGGCATTATACATTTTTTTCAATAAATTTTAACATCTCTTTCTTCTACCTCCACTGGCAGCCTTTTAATCAGAGAAACTTTATAAATAAAAGTAAAAATCTTAAAAACTAAAAATTCGGGAGTATTGTATTTATGTGTATCGTTCTTTCTCTTAGTTGAAGTAGAAGGAAACCAAAATTATTAGTCAGACGTACGAAACATTTCTTAGATGTTTGGCAGCATAGAAGTAGTAAGCTGATTACACGTAAGCTAAATGTACTTAAATCAGGAAAAGCATGGATCATAAAATATGCTGAACCTTTTCATAACATCATAATATAAAATAAGGTTTGATTGAGGTTTTAGATTTGTGGTATCATTTTGAAATTACATTTATGAATTTCACGATGATAGCAGCGCAACTGTCGCCATTTAAACGTTGCACCTTTATCCAATTCACGAAATCCAATTCAGACTAGTATATTGAAGAAATAATGAAAGTTCAGTGTACAATCTTAAAAGATCGCAGTTTATATTCGAATTTTTTCAATATCCACAGTTTCTCGGACAATATTGGGGATTTTAATATTATCTCCAATAAATTTTAGGTGCTTCTACGTAGTTTGAATTAAATCGGTGTAACACTCATTATCTATGAAAGTGTTAATTGCCTTGAAACACTATGACATGATTACGTTGCAAGAAACACTGTAAGTAATACAAAATTTAGTGATCCTTTCAAAAATTGTAATAACTTATAAACACATTAATTTGAAAAATACTTCGAGCATAATGTTTAATAAATACTGTTTTCTATAACGACAATTTTGGTACTTGGTGTCTAAGTACCGTGCTCTGGATAAAAATACAATTGCAGTATTTTCAAAATCAATAATTTCAACCAAATTCGTTAAGCATCTGAATGAAAAGGCAAACAAGCATGCAATAGGAGAGAAATAGATTTAAAAGATCTAAATTATTTGAAGTTAAGATTAAATAATAATAATTAGAGGTGAAAAAGCAAAACGCAATTCCAACACTCGTGAACTCACACATAAACACTTGTAAAATCACAACAAAAACAAAAATCCCCACAATTACAATTCACCGATTTACTTCCTCATTTTAAAGCATTTTTTAGCAAAACAGCCTTCCTGTTATTATAACAATCGATACTCACGGGGGCATGGCTGCGGGGAAAGTCGATGTGAAGGCGCAACCCAGAGAGCGTGCACGCCTGACTGTGGTTGCAGATCGTCTGAAGCAGCAGCGATTCGAGAGACCAGAGACAACCAGTCGTCGTTGAATGCTGGGGGATGGAGTAGGGGTGGGGGGAATGACAGGGCCTGCTTACAAACTCTACGCGGGCACCCACCCCACAAGCAAGGCCAGCACCGCCTTCGCCACCACCGCCACAGCTACTGCCACCGCTAACGCCACCGCTTCCATTACTATCGCCGCTGCCGTCCCGGCCCCTGCCCCCACTGATCCTGCCTCTTCCCGCTGCGCCCCTGACCTCACCCCCGCCGCCACAATCACCGCTGCCGCCGCCACCACCACTGCCTTCTCCATCTCCGTCACCGTGCAACCGCCGCCGCCACCACCCCCGATTCCTGCCTCTTCCCACTCCGCTCCCGCCGCCGCCCCCAACACCGCCTCTGCCTCCTCCACTTCCACCACCGTGCCGCCGCCGCCGTAAACGCCATCGCCGCAGGCCGCATCCCGAGTCACGTGTCGCTCGTCGTCGCGGAGATCTATTATGCCGACATGATGACCGGCAAGTTGCTAGTTATCTGCGCAAGGTCATGTCTCGGAGGGTCCCATGACCTGGGCTCCTGGCGTCCCACCCGCTCCCTCCCTTTCCAATTGCTGAATTGGGAATATTACGACGTGGTCCAAGGCCTCTTGACCTCTTTGCGGGCAGAAAATTCTTGGATTCTACAAAAGAGTGGGATAAGTGTAAAATAAGATAATTCTTATTTTATGGTCTCGAAGGGTGAAAATACAATAATTATTTATTCATTTGGTAGTATTGCCGGGAGCGTCAATATCAATATTCAATAGACCCGAAAATGCACTGAATATTAGAATTCGGGTAGTGGTAGTGATGGTGGAAGGTGAGATCTGGTGGATTTGCTCCTCCAGATACCACACACGCACACACATCCGCGCACGCACACATACACAAAGATCATCCCGGATGTGAGAATAAATGAAATCTGAAAAATGATATATTGTGTAATGGATTTGTAGATATAATATTATTATGCAAACATACGTTATCATAGGATAGGTTTGTAGATATAATATTATTATTGAAACACGTTATCATAGGATAGGTTTGATCCTTACAAAACAATTTAGTAGCATCGGCAAAAGGTTCAGGAATACCAGTTATGTAATGTATTATAAGTGTTATGCAATCGTTACATAAATATACATTTGTTGATTATTTTCATGAATACAAACATTGAGATAATACAGTAAATTCTGAGGTGAATTTGAACAGGTCTAAAATTTTATATTAATTTAGAACGGCACAGACTACCAAAGACCCTTAGAACGTCGAATAATACGTATTATAGTATGAATAAATAAAATCTGCAAAGATCTAAGAGGCTCTGTTTCCTGATAAAGCCAAAGAAACATTACAAATGACTTGCGCGCGTTACCGGACCTCCATGATGCACGCAGGGTCTGTACGTACCAAGTTCCATTCTTGTCGTTCTAAGTTCAGCTAACACTATTATTTTGGTGTCCTTTCGATGTTCAATATGGCTCACTGCATTACCAAAAGTCGTGAAATTGCAAAAGGACTCAATTCACCATCATTTTGCTTACTAGTCTCCTGTGCCTTTTGCGTCATTTCGAAATCCCAAGCTCCCTGAACTCTTGTAAATAATATTAAAAACCACATAAAAGATAATGATGCTGCGTACTTCTCGTTAGCGTCATTGTTTCTCGAACCCAACCGCATGCCTTCAGTAAGTCTGAAAGGTTTAACCAGTGAATTCCCGCTTTCTGTTGATGGACTTTCTGCCCATTGAGAATAATTATGCAATTTTCACAAGTTGTTATTTGTAACAATATTTTATTTGAAAAATGAATATTACGTCAGGATCATGTTGCTAATACATACAAGGTTATCAGACTTCTAAATGCGCTCTATAACGAGATCTGAATGTAAAATTACGAATACTTTTTGTTCATGCTTAGTGCATATGTCTTGCATTTTGTTTGTTTTTCGTTTGTACGATGTTCATTATTGTTAGTAAAGAGCTACACGTAAAGAAAGGATCATTTTTCAAATTCCTCGTCGGCCAACAATTAGTAAGAACAATAGCATCAAAAAGGAAGTAATTTCATTTTTGCGAATCAAAACATTATGAAACGTGTGACAATTGAAAAATACATAAATTGGGCAGTAAGCTAATAAAAAACTGACCAATAAAGAACAGTATAGTTGACCTTTCTCTTTCTGTAGTTCCTTCGCATGACATCATTGAATAATAATGACAACTGTTGTTTTGCACTCACATACGCATTGAAAATAACAACTTGAATACCAGGGCAAAATACATTTCAGTAGATTTACAGCGACGTCTTGTGAGCATTGCGTCATAACTACGTCAGAAACAGTTGGGAGATTTAAACATGGTTTGAAGATGCTGGAGATAATGAGACACGTGTGCGTGTTTAAAAGCGGGAATCTTTCGTGACATCAAAAACAGATTCTGTGCCTGAAGCAATGACTTTGATAATTCAGAGTTCTCGTGATTCCCTTAAATCTAAACACTAATATTTTTTGCCAGTTTTCTATTCTATAATGAAATGTTATTGTTTTACAAAATATTTACATCTTCCTATTCTTCTGTAGTTCTTTACTGTAGGAAATAAATCTATTAATCATTTTCCTAAGTCGATCACATCAAGAAGTAAGTCAGCTAATACATTACATTAACACATTAGGACAGGGCGGAGAATTTTTTGTGATCTATGAAATTGAAGGTATATGAAAGCAGAATATAGATTTTAATATTTGTGTACTATACAATAAATAAATAAATTTGGATCCATTTTAAGTAGGAAAGAAAATAATTGATTGTGCTAAAACCTCCAGATTTCACAAAAAATATAAATAAATAAAAAATAAAAAATAAAAAAATACAGCGTTGAAATTCATCGATAAGTTTCAATTGACAAAAAAAATATGTAGCCTTGGTATAGAGGAATGTTATGCTATGTATCCGTATGAACTATACTGTTACTGCATTCGTTAACTGTTATTCTTAAAACATTTAATTTATTGCAGTTATACGAGAGTGTTACTAGTGTGCTATTTAAAAAAAATTGTGTGGTTTTGGACATCAGTATTTTTCTGCTGCAGGCCTTTAATAATAATAATAATAATAATAATAATAATAATAATAATAATAATAATAATAATAATAATAGTAATAATAATAATAGTTATTATTAATATTATTGCTGACGTTGAATTTCTGAAAAATAATACTCAAAGTGCCAGGTCCGCAACAATAATCTTATTCGTTTACTAACACTGTCGTATCGAATGTATCCAACTATTTTAAACAACGTTCCGGTTTTGTTTAATAAAAATATCAGATTTTGTTTCAATTACACTTTCGATTTTTGACAGCATCGTTTTGGATCCCGCTAATCAACGTTTTATTCACATTTTATTCAAAACCATTAGTTGTAACAGTAGTCCGCCACCTAATTAATACAAACCTCTTCGTTGCGTTGCGGCGTGGACATTGGGGACTTTCTGAAAGCGCAGTGTGCTCTACTCCGTCCTTAAAAAGAAAAGGCTTAAAAAGAAATTACTCAAAAAGAAAAGGTGTAAAAAGAAATTGATTTTTTTGGCTGAGTCATCCCATAAACATAAGATATTATACTATATTTATAATACTTATTTTTGTAGTACAACTTAAAAAGCGCCCCAAAACACTAACGTCTAGTGTGTTTTTTTAACGTGTTCCATCGCTCTCATTATTGAAACGGTTCATGATAGTTTCGGTTTCATACCTCGATCATAGAAAAATCTCAACATTTTCTTTCGTATTACGTGCGCACCTTGTCGGTGTAATAAAGCAGCAGCGTGTTCCTGCTTCACCTTTTTCCTCAGAAACCGTAGAACGTGTTTACGTGACTTTCAAATTCCATCGCAGCTTCGCCCGAACGAAAAATAATACGCAAAACACCAAATTATTCCGACCCACGACGCACCGCTGATAAACCTGGGAAGTCACTTGCGTACCCGGAAACCAGCATTTCTCTTCCAGAACATCGGTCGCTTTGACATTCCACTGTCACGCCCTGGGTCGCTTTAGAGCTGTCGATATTTGCACTACGATTTCCTCATTCCGTAATTTTGCGCTTTTTTAATTTGCATCCGAATAGAGAAGATTTTCTCTTCGGTAATATGAAATACATACCAAACATATCAATTGAACTCATAAGGACATGCTTCTGGAAGTTATGGAACAACAGAAAGCAACAAACAGCTATGCAGCAAGTAGTGTAAATCAGCAAAATCACGCTAAGTTTATTTAAAATTTATCTAATTTTTTCAGATCAGGACAATAATTATTTTGGTACAAAATCACTCTTCTTGCATATACTTACACACTCTGTGTATACAGTACACACACTCTGTGTATACCACTGTTAGAGGAAGGGAGAAGGAAGCATTTATACTATTCTTAGTTTGTTCTTCTTTCTTGTTTCATTCAATCTCGTAAGAATTCAGGTTTAGGAAAGAAGAATCGCATGCAGAATTGTCATTTTAAGGAACCATAAAAATTCTTACTAAATGTTTATTAATTATTTTCATTAGTTATTAATTAGTACTTATTAATGCTTTATACATATTAGTATTATTATTATTATTATTATTATTATTATTATTATACAATATAAAGTTTGACAATGTGTCATGAAACATCTTTCTAATTTTTCTCTGAATCGGCTTTCATTAAATGTATTATTACGTTGCGATTAATAAATAGATAAATCAGTCAAACCATCCTTCCGCATCTTCAAAATCAGACAATATCATACTCGATAGAATTCCAGAAAGACGATTTAATTGCCCACTCATGCCCCATTCCACTCTACCCTGACCCACTCAGCCACAAAGGATTCCGACCCGTGAGCCTTATTCCTGATTCTCATGAGTCTTGAATGGGGAACACAGAAAGAGGGAAGTTCTGCAGCTTGCTCTCCTCCTGTGTCATCCAGGCGTGCCAGCCACGGCTGTGTCTTGTCAGACAGCAAAGATACGCGGGCGCCAAATTCCCAAACCACAACAAAAGCAGGTACTCCCAGACATTGACAGGGAAATAAAATAAAGACACTAGCCTCAATCGAGATCGCCTCAAATAGTAGTATTATATATAAGGTACGAGATGCAAATATGGCCAGTGCAGGTAATACGGCCAAGTATTGGTTATGTTGTTAGCTGAAAATGTTTACCATAGATAGTACTAGCACGCTGTCCAGGAGAGCGGAAAAAATGCATTAGACTCCTTCTAGGCTTGTTGACACGCACATTCGCACTCAGGAGCATCTATTGTCAAGAACGTGCCGAAGGCGCTCTGTCCTTGTAACTTCTTTCCAGGTAATTTTGTCATTAGTGGCACTTTGAGGATTTAGTACTTTGACAGTATACATCAACGTTTAGCTCATTTAATGAGCTATCTAATCAGATTAATGCCGTTAAATTTGTTCAATATTTTACTCGTACCAATGTGGGAGAGATTTTATAAAATGTTTTTGCTGTCACTATGGCGAAGAGTGTTGGACAGTTTTTTTGCCTTTTTTTTTTATTACTTAAGTTCGCATGAACATTAGGTCATTAGCGACCACTAGTGCATTTAACGTTACGGTGATATATTATGCTAATGATATAGGGTACAAGGCCGAACACAAATACAACCATGCCCGAGACGGGACTCGATCTAGCGATCTTTCGGTCCGAGATCGCTTCAGCACTACAGTCATTCGGACCGGATAGTGGAATTTGTTTCATTCATTATTTAGAGTGCTGGTCGCGTCGGCTAGCAGTTTTATGTGTAACGGTCGGCGACATTTAGGGAGGGCGCAGTTCGACGCTAAAGCTTATGAAATCCAATCTAATGTATAAAACGCGCATTACCAATGTCTTGTATTCTTTAGCTCTTACGTAAGTTTGTCGGCGGGTACTCATCAAAGATCTGTGAGAAGTATCCTGAACGATAATAACATTCACTGCTGCATGGCGTGCTGGGTTCAGATGGATTGCGTGAAGTGAAAAAACAACTACGAAGTAGTTTGACATGTTCAGAGGTAATGACAGTTCATTTCTCGTGTTTTTGTCTTGGCAAGTACTTCTCTGTGAAATTACTACTTCAGATACATAGATTTCCCCCCCACCTTATGCAATAATTGCAATGAAAAGTTCTACCTTTTCATTCGTAAAAAGTAATTATACAATAGACACTAGTTAAGAAATAACATTCGTCGCTACCATATTTTGTGGTATTAATGATAGATTGCATTATTATCAAAATTATCGACATTACTTTAATAGTACTGGTCAATTTTATATTTTTATTATAATTTTTTACATTTTCTATAAAAATAAAACAAATATACATTTAGACATATGGGTTTTATCAATAAAAGCATGTCACAGTTTTCAGAGCTCCGAGTTTTGCAAAAATATTTGTTGTAAAATACGTCAATTTTTACATTCGTGATTAAATTTCTCCGAAACATCCCATTAATTTATTTATATTTACAATTAAATTGTTTTATCTTAAAATCAATGTAAACTCAAATAATAGTAGGCATGTAGTATTAAGCAATGTAAATATTTAACTCTCATTTTTTGCTTAAGAATTGCTAAGAGTTGACTTAAATATTTTCTGTCATTCTGAATAAAAAATAATTGAACCATCTAAAAATTGGGAATCGCCAATATATAATAGGTAACTTGTGTATAAGCTAATAGTTGAAATCTATATGGTAATATTTCAGTAATTTTATCAACTCTTTTTTAATATTTTTCTTTTTCTAACGAGATGCAGATACATTTTAAGTTCAATCGTTTTTAATTAAGGAAATTGTGAAGATGAAAATGAAAGCTTAAGTCATCTTCGTCAAAGATAGTATTCCCAGGCATAGGATTTTAAAAATAGAACTCTCCAGCAAGTGTTGGTTTGACAAAACGTAATTGACGATTGCATTGCGTTAGACATTTGTTCTTTATGTTGTCCTAAATTGTAATTATATTCTCTTGAACAATTCGTAATCAGTCAATCACCATTCCAGGATGTTATATTCTCATTTAAGCTGTAGTAGCTCTATTAAGAACAGTTATCATTTAAGAACTCACGTCTTAAATATTTAGTCAGAGTTAGAGAAATACAGTAAAAGGTACAAGTTCGTTTAGTTCGTTGAAATTGAATTGAACAAAAATAATTCCACGAAAACACTTTTGCGTGCTCTCCCACAATCATGGTTGTTGAAGAAATATTTATCGTTCAAGACTAGTTTTTCAGTTCCTTGTTTACTCTTTCTTCCATTGAGTGAGGACTCAACATCATCAACGGGCACTATAAAACATTAGAAGACGGCAGCGTTCTTGTTTATACCTGCCAGAATAATGTCTCACGAAATATAACTGGTCTCTCTCTTTCATTATTACAAAGATAAATAAAAAACTTCTGATATACTAACAGATATTTTTGGACATCACTTTTGTCGTCATTGTTTCTTTTGTTCCACAAGTCTTGTATTTCCAACACTGACAACAAACTAAGTATCACGATCACAATGCCCCCTGCTTCTCGAAGTACGGCAGCAGGAGGCGCAACGCTTTGGCAAAGGTTTTGCCGGCCAAGGTCTTGGCGAAGATGTCGACCTCTCCGCTGCGCACCTCCTCCTCAGTGATGCCTTCGAATTCCATGGCTTCGCTGGGGTCTGCCAACACGATGGCCAGCAGGTTGCACGACGACATCACTCCGAAGGGCATGACGCGCTTCATCTCCTGCTGCAGCTCCTCCCACGACACCGCGCGGTGCTCGCAGCCCAGCTGCTTCAGAACCTGTGCAGGCGGAGCAATGTCGTTACTCGAGTTAAATGCAGGATTGCATTTTCAGGCAGGATTATATAGAATATACAGACATTTTAATTGCATGTTTTAATGACTGGTAAATTATATTTGATTACAAAAAATTGAAAGATTCTTGTTGGCATGAAAGCATTGAAAGGAATACCGCCGACTGGAATACCGGACCTAGACGGTAAAGGTATTGACAATCTGTAAAAGGGCGTGGGTTCTATCTCTTCTCCTATTGTATAAACTAAGAGTATGTATCATGAATACTTTTGAGGTGGTAAGAATAAAATTGCGTGGTTTCAATTTTCAAAGTAGCCTCAAATTGTGTAGTACAATATTTAGTTAAAGCGGGCGATGCCTGATGAGCGGGAGGAACAGGTTGAACAGGTAGGATAGGTGAGCGAGAGGTGAGGGCAGCTGCCTCAACAGGCCAAAGAGGATGTTCAGGGCAGACGACCGAAGTGTGCGGGATGGGCGAGGCTGCTTGATACATGAAAATAAATAAAATTACCCCGACAACACAGGTTAGCCCCACACCGGTTAGCATCTATGTTTTTGTGTAATATCCATTTCATAGATCCATCTAGGCAGAATATCCTAAATTACCAAATTTATTCAACAGCCCTTAACCAGTAAATTAGGAGTAACTGTACAGATCTGTCAGCGGATTACCTCGGTCTAGAAATTTTACGATATAATAAGGGCTTCCTCGATTTCTCGCTGCAGGGGGAAGGTGGTTGAGTTCTAATAGATAGATTGCAATGATCCTTGCGATGTGCCCGTAAGATGTTACCTCATGTGCCACTATGTAAGCGTGCATTGGTCGACGAAGGGGTCATAAACCTCTAAAAATGTTTTTAAACGCCCAAAAATATATTCCTTTTGTAGATCACGACAAAAAAATTGTATTCTAAAAGAAGCATTCGGATTAAATAACTTGCTCTCAATTTTAACATCCATATTAGAAGGCAAATTATTTTTGTTTGATTGGTTTCCTAGGTTTGTTTGTATATTTGGTTGCTCAAAAACATTATTTAAAAAAATACGGAACAGGACGCAGTGTAAATTCCCGCAAAAATCCTGTTATTTAGCTCTTATCTAGTAACTTTTTAACGCCAAAATACTGGCTATCACTTATGACCTAACAGACGTTGTTCACATATTGTTCGGAAATAATACTCGGCAAGTGTTTCACTTTGCTGATAATTATGTTTGTGGTCAAAGCTTACATTTATGGTTTAGAACTACACTATTGTTAGGTATCAAAGATATTTAAATTTAAGATGTGAGGAGCAAGAGGAGAAAAAAATGTAGATGGGGTAATGTCTCGTCTGAAGTTCAAATGTAGGTTAGCACATACCATGGTGCACCTACTGCTAATCTAATATACCCATTTTGCCGAACTTCGCGATTGGATAATGAATTTCGTGATGCTTCTCACACTGGGTAATGGTATCTGATAATGGATCAGAGTCTTTCATAAAATTATTTCAAACACTGTATCTAATGTAGTATATCTAATGAGCTGTAAAAGTGTGCTGTTGAGCCCCGCTCACTCTTACAGAGGAAGTAGAAAGCCATAAATGGTGTTGGAGATGCTCTCCGTCTTTTTTATTGAATGAAGATATAAAAGTTGATAAAGCAAACTAGTTATCTTATCAGAATGAATAACTAAAAGAATGTTTACGTATTCGCTGCCGTGAATGACCGATTATACTTCAAGAAATACTCGAACTTTGATAATCGTGAATTGTATAGCGTACGGAAATGACTGCTGACATATTTTACCTTTTTATTATTACGTATCGTACAAATCGGATAAGTATCGGATTATCTAATCTATACGAGAGAGTCTCATAATGGCGGTCACCGCATACCAAAAACATCCCGAGCATAAACTTTTGCAATCAAGAAGGAATTTCCGATAACTTAAGTAGCAGTGAATGCAGTTTTGGTTTTGATAATAAATCGCATGAATGGGCAATTTTGTAACAAAACATTTTGGATCATGTTTACAGGATGCTGTGGCTTAGAGGCTTTTCGAAACATTTTCGCTACTCATTCCACCTTTCAATTTTATATTCGTCAATTTATTATCATAGTATTAAGAATTCTTCTTCTAAATAATGCTCTTGAAATATTGTAAAATGTGTAGGGAAAATTAACAGCATTGGTTTGCTAAGACCAATGGCAATGGTCGAGGCAACCCACAATCATCTTCTCTCTAGTTGGATCCCTTCCACAAACATTGCATCAACGCAAGCTAATAACAATACTAATATTAATTAAGTAAGATGCTTTTAAGCATTTCTTTCGTCCAAATTAAAATATGAAACAACATTTCATAATCTAATCTTTGGAAGTCACCAACTTCATACATAACCGTAAAATTGATTGCTCCATTATTTCGTATTTAGGGGCACTTCAAGTGATACGCCATTATTCTCGTAAGTGTAGTGCACGTTTTGATCACGGTAGGTGGCGGTGTTCTTTCGTCGCTGGATGGTGAGATCCGGCGCTGACATATTGGCCTGCGGGATTTCTTCGTCCATGTAGAACCGACCCAGCCGGTCCAAGCTGTAAGTTTCCGACTGGTCTCCCGACATGTGTAGTATTGTGTGTGTGTGTGTGTGTGTGTGTGTGTGTGTGTGTGTGTGTGTAAGGAGGGAAGATAGGAAAAGGAAGAGGAAGGGAAATCGTGTGTGGCCCGTGGCCCGTCTGTCAGTACTGATCCAGCATGAACTCCGCAGAGCTATACAGCTAGTGCCGAAAATTCTTCCCCCTCCCGGGACTAGGACACCAGGACCTGCCGGTTAGAGGCACCACAGTGCCAGAAGTTGATGCCCTGAGCCGGTACCATATTAATGAAGTTGCTTTGCATCATGACTGTCGTTTTATCACTTATTGTGCAATTCTCATCCCGACTACGATAAGAATTAAGAGAGTCACAATGACAATGTAGAAATGCTGTCAGCAACTCTTCACCGTACAGTACACCATTAAAATGTATTACGATGCAATAGTTTCGTGAGCTATAAACAGTGTGAGCGTCCTCTCAATAAGAAGCTAGCAATGAGGAAATAATTTCTACACATGTATGTCCTTGGAAGCACTATCTTAGTTATACATCTTACAACTTTCTAATGAGTTCGTTCCGCAAAAAGTGTAAACTCTCATCAAATAAAAACTACATATTCTTCAAATACGTTACCTTGTTAAGATGATTCCCCATTGGGACAAAGAGCGTTTTGAAGCATACGAAAAATAGATTTAAGTATTTATCCAGTGATTGATGTTCAAGTAGATCGCTTCCATGTGGCTCTATTTTAGAAATATCCAAGTATTTTTATCGTAATACTACATAAAACTGCAATATATAAATCTTTAAATTCTAATATTTTAAATTTGCAATTTCTTGCATTCAAAAAGGAGCGCATATTAAAGGTTCCTGGAATATTTTCAATTTCAAAAGGCATCTTGAGAACAACTAGTTCACGTAACTCTCAATTAGTGGATCGCAAATTCTTTCTCTTTGGGTCGAGAAAACAAACATTTTAAGGAATGAATAGTTCACAGAAATCTCAAATAAACTTTTTAATTTATAAATTCAACATAATATTATTCGTAAATTACGAAAACATTTTTGCGAATTCGTATTACCTGCAAGTATGTCGTGTGATACGTAGAAAGCATTTCGTCCATTTTTTCCGTGCGGATGTCTGGTCGGGGGCTCGAGAATAAGAAATACTGAAGATCCAAAGCCATCGAACCGAAACGGCACATCTGGAACAATTCAAACGGGTAATTTATGAAGTCTCATTTACTACACTTTCGAAGATGTAAACATTATTGGAAACAAAGGTAACATTTGTTTATTAGCAAATGTTTTTGATTTGTAAACATACTGAACTTCTTTATTATTCCTTTATGGATTCTTCCTTTTTTCCATATCTTTGTTACGTGAATGAAATGGCACACTGGGAAAATTGTTAATGTCTGCTTTAATTCCATTCTATATGAAGTATCATTCGATTAAGTCAAAACTAAAAACAAGATTCATCGAAGAAAATAATTGTTACTCATAACCTAGAGCAGATTTTCCCATGGAGAATTTAAAAGGTTCTTAACAGTGCAAAATAATAAGACGCATGCCCAATTATCACCTGCAAATCTCATAATCAGGTGTCTGGACATAGATAACATGAAGGATTGCTAATAATACGAAGGAGCAGTAAGAATATGTGTATATTTATTCTTACTCTCTTTTAGCTTAATACTAGGTATACATTCTCATTAGAAAAATTTGAGAGTTTTCGCATCCGATAATTTTCCGGTCGTATTAACAGTAATGCACCAAATTGTGATACTTTAGTTTTTAAGAATTCAATACGAATTTTTTTTTTAAAATTGAAAATGACCATCGACCTTTAGGTATGTAGCCACTCCTGAAAGAGGCGTTAATATGTAAATGACCATTACCTGAAAATCCACAAAGCGAATATCCACAGGTTCTCCACTTTCCGAATACTTGAACAACGTGTTATTAACCCAGCAGTCTCCGTGATTCAGCACTTTGAATCTTTCTTCGGTCTCCGCGAAAATGTTCATCATGACTCCAAAGATGGTCTTCCCGAACTCCCTGAGTTTGTCGGCGTAGTGCTCGAAGCCCTGCCAGCCGTCCACGTGCTCGGCGAGGCTGTTGAGGGACTTGGGCATGAAGAATTCGAAGTCTGAGCGCGTAGCTTCTGTGTAAAAGGACTCTTCGTAAACTACGCTCACGGGGTCTTCTTCGTGGATCACTAGCGACATGGCGTGGAACAACCCCAGGGCCTTCATCAACATCAGGCAGTGTTCGAGGTCCATGCCGCACTGACGGCTCACCATCTTGAAGCCCTGGTCGCGCAAGTCCTCAAATACCAGGATGCTGTGGACAAACGTCACTTTAGGAGAGTTTTGATTGAATAATTTGTGTTTCTGAACACGTCAGCTGCTATGATCATTAGTTCCATCAGTGTAGTGAACGTTTTTTTCCGGGAAGTGACCGTATTCCTTCCCCGCTGGATAACGAGATTATCCAGCGGTGAATGAGATTCCCAAAGAATTCCCCCAGTGGGGCATTGCCCCAGCTGAGATAAGCTGTCAGCTCCCGACTGGTCTCCTGGCATGCGAGATTATGTGGAGTATTTAAGTAGAAGTGTGTGTGTGTGTGTGTGTGTGTATGAGAGGAAGGGGAAGTAACATGAAGGACACATCGTGCGCGGCCTGTGTTTCTTTTGAATGGATAGGACAAGGAAGGCGAAGGAAAGATAGTGACGGTCTGTGGTTAAGTTTGTTTGGCTGCTCCGGCTTCACCCAGTATTTATCAGAAAATCTATGGTAAATACTTCTCACAATCACCAACCGTTAGAATTCTCATATTACTAGGACCTCCTGGTCAGAGTCTCTGCTGAGACAGCGGCAATATTGACTGGGCTGAACTCTGTCAGTTCGAACGTTAGATTTAGAGAATAGGGCTTTTCACTTACAGAAGTTTTCACATGATGTTGACGCGACCTTTCGTTCTTTTTATGCAGACTTACTTTTCAGCTAATATCAAAATGTAAGTGAGTAATACCTGAAGATGGAATCTATTATGTGAATTGATTTTGAAGTTACAATATTATTTAACTAATGCCAACGTACTTTCCCGCTTGTGCGCTCGGCCTTTCGTAGAAACGAAAGGCGCGCTCTGTAGTTCAAGGGCGGGCAAAGCGAGCCGAAAAAAATTGGCTGGAATGGGAACACAAACGCGCGTTTGAGCACTGTGGCACCATAACACGAAGTGTAGAGAAAACGTGCAAGCGTACACTCTTTGCTGTGATTGTGGATCACGAGCTAGGCGAGAGGATCCCCGACGAGGGACGGGCAACACAGCCCCGAAAATTAGTCTCAGGACATGGTTCAAGATTGCGGGACCAAGAATAGCATATGGGATATTTCAACTTAACAGTGTTCTCCTCTGAATGTACACTCACTCTTTACGGGATTGGTTGAAGATGATACCGGGTCGAGACACACAAGAGTGTGTTTTCAGTATTTACATTTAAGTTCGTATGATATAGGTTGCCTCTGTTACTTAATATACAACACGATGGTGGCACGCTCACCAATGCATGGTTGGTGAGCGCGTGACGTGGTTTGTAACGTTGTGCACATATAATGACGCAAGAAACTAAGGAGCAGTTAGGCCGGACGACAAATGAAGCCCGGAAAAATGTTGAGAAAAGAGGTCATATATAAATAATGTTTTCACAATTTTGGTTTAGAATCTTAATCTTACAATCTTAATTAAAAGATTGTTTTATAGTCGAACCATCTCAAGAACTCAAAATTACGTGATTCACTAGGAGCGACTTTTATGGAAGTTCTAAGATACCAAAAATTAAACTAACTAAAAGCCGTTCCGTATGGTATTACAAAAGCTTTCTTTTTAACACGTGCACAAGTTTGTTTTTTCACACAAATCCTCAAACATAAGTAAGCATTCATCTAATTAATCTTGATAAAATTAAAAAATAATTCGAGGTCTATTTTTTGGCTTTAGAATTTCAGATTTAATTATCCTCTTAAAAAGGCTGCCTAGAACACTTCTACCTACGTGTAACGTCTACCTACGTGTAACGTCTACCTACGTGTAACGTCTACCTACGTGTAACGTCTACCCGGCGTGGACGCGCGCACTCACCCGTCGGTGCGGTTGAGGAGGGCGCGCGGGGTGAGGCGGGCGAAGGGCCGTCCGCGCAGGGGCCCGTCCAACAGGCGCTGCATGCGCGGCAGCGTCTCTCGGTACATGCGCTGCTCCTTGGGGAACAGCAACGTCTTCTCCACCCACGCGCGCGACATCTCGACGAGCGGCTTGCTCTTCACGATGAGGCTGCGCTGCGAGGGTCGCTCCCTGCGCATACCCACCACGCCACCTAGTCAACAACTAAAGACTACATTAAATAACTTTTAATGTATGCAATAAATTGTAGCAAGGGATTAAAAAAAGGGTGTAATCAGGAGATAACATAAACATTTGAATTCAGTCGTGATAATAAGTTTCGTGTCATGTACATAAAATATGTTTTGGTTTATCTTTTGTTAGAGTTTTTAAAACTATTACCTACTCACTTTTGTAGACCTCCACACACTGGCTAGTGACCTTGACATCCGATTTGCTTCGAAGAGTAAAGTTGTTTTTGTTGTTGTTTTTTGTTAGAATCACTGCGCAACTTACGTCCATGTCTTTTATGGAGGAAAGAAGCCACTATTCAATCACACGCGTGTCTTTTGTGTAGACGGCATTGCTAGATCTCCATGCACGTTGCAGGGTCTGAATTAAACTTCGCACGCGGCCTTCGCACTGGCGCAGCCAGGAAGTGCGTTTGTTGATCCATGCAGAAATGGTATCGTTTGAGAAAACTCCGGTTTAGGGTATTTCAAATACCATTATCCTTCAGTTAACAGGGTCAGCCAAAAGGAACAGTTTACCCGCAGCAATTTTGAAAGTCTTCTTCAAAGTGTGTCGTAGTTTGAGAAATAAGTTAGAGCAAGCTGCAATTCAAATGGTAAATGAGTTTGTAGTGTTGTGCAGTGCGCAAGTGATGATCAGCCAAATGCATTTGAAGCTATGCAATTTGTTTGGTTCATTCAAGTGACCAATTGTCGACATGATTTAACTGAAGATTAACCACTGTAGCATGCATTTACTCTTGCTTATTAGAAGTACCATTTTATTGTTTTTATTCTGTCCATTTTATTCGTCATTTAGTTTACAATTTGATAACCTTTTTCTGAAGGAGTCCATTATTTTGACGTTGTGGCTGTATGAACTCCAATTGCAAAGTTGAAATAAATCTAATAAAAAAAGAAGGTGCCTTGCGGGCACTCACGTTAAAAGAGAAATATCTAAGATTCAGGAAAAGAAAATTTGAAAGTTTTTTTGTAAACATTTACTTCCATCATTCCTTCACACGTTATTTGTTCGCACGGTAAAGGTTTCGGCATTATCAATCATCTGTAGCAGAAAAAATAGGAACCGCGGAAACCGTAACAAAGACCAGTTGTCAACGCCAGAAATAATTCTTTAGAGATTACTATTTAGTTTCAGTGCCGGTAAATGGTGATTTGGGGCCGGAAAAAATTCCACTTAGATTTAATGCAAAATCTATTGGGAACAAAGATTCTGCACTAATAATTACGCTGCGAAATACTAAAAATTGCGTTCCAATGTTTACTGTGATCGCGGAATGTGATGTAATTACCCTGTACATTTTATCGATAGTACGTTTCTGTGCGGTCAGAACACACGCCTTACGACAAGTTGTTCATATATTATAAAAATAAGTGCTCCATTCAACCTCTCGGCATTCATAGTTTTGGTAAAATGTCAAACGCCGACTAATTTGAAGCGGTTGAGAGATCAGAGCTCATTGTTACCATAGCACAAAATGTGGTTGAACTATCACATTCATAGACGCTTGCGGCGCTTTCTACCAACCGTGCTGTTCGTTACTGGTAACCACTCCTTAATTATTCGCGCGCGCGCGCATCTACTAGCTTCGTCAGTGTCTCGAGACGTTATGCGGAACTCTACCAACGCGATTTCCATTACGTCAGCACGAAAATCACGAAGTAAAACCTGTGTGCAAAACAGTCGTTAGTGTTGTTACGACTGATGCTGCTGGTGCTGCTGTCGATGTTTCTATTGTCACCTGTACTATTGTAAATAATATTCCAAAATGAAACAAAAACTGGGGAAATTCCGATTAACTGGATGGAGAAGGATGCGAATAATTCTTTCATAGAACACGCCGTGTCCGTATAAGCTTAGTTTCACGTATTATTCGTTGTGAAAAATAAACAGCTTGGTTTACTTTTTAAATTGTATGTCGAAGTGCAAAATAATTATATTGGTTAGGATTTCATTCCAAGCATGTTTTTCCTAAAATTTTATTAAGAAAGGTTTATACAGGATGTGAAATATTGGTTTCTTTAATTACATATTAACGTGCCTATTCAGAATTTTTGGGATCATAAATGTGTTCTTTTAAAAACGTATTTCAAGTCTTTTAGCGCATATCCTCTCCCAAGTAAGAATCTACCTGCAAAAAAAATGTTACCCTTGAGCAGTTGTCTCCACCACGTCTACGTGCACACGCAACATGAGGCTGGCGTAGTTGTCGCCCTTGCCCACAGCGTTCTCTGCGTGGAAGTCCTTCACGCGCAGGGCCCCGCTTTCGCCTTCGCCAGTCGCCCCCGCCAGCGCCTCCTGCAGGAACGCCGTCGTCAGCCAATCAGGTAGCGCGGGCGCAGAGCTATCTGGTGTCGGTGCAGCCGCCGCCAGTGCGGCTGGCTCCGACTCCCTCGCCTCCATTCCTGGAAAAAGAAAACATTTTTTAACGGAAATAGCCACGCAAGGGATAAATGTAGGAGAGTTTTACCCATCCGGGATTGCTTTCTTGATTGATTTATTAGAGGTTCAGGGTGCTTAAACAGCTAAGGTCACTACTTTCGGAAGCGTAGTGCGTGTTTTTTTTTATTGAGGTACACGACGTCCGTCGCATAGCAGACCACGGACGTTAGACCGTAGAATTAGGATGTTGTTACTGACGCACGTTGCAGCTTCGTAGGTATCTACGGCGTGAGGAACACACAGCGTACTAGATGAACGTAATAAGTACGTCAAACGAGCGGCATACGCTTTTCCATTAATAAAAAGGAATAGATTCCACATTGAAAGATTAATTAATGACGTGCACATGCAAACATTTTCTGGTAGTCTGGCACACATCAGTGTTATTCTGCTGTTTCATATGTTAATGTGATTTCGATAGTCATTCTCTGAACGATTGCTGAAGACATTCGGAAATAATTAAAAATGGCTTACCATCGTTGCATTAAATCTGAAAGATGGTGTAAAATGTAACCTTCGACAGCTGTTAAGAAGATGAACCCAGCATCTCCTGCTCTTTCTGTTTTAAGTTTCATTCCAATGTAACATACTTTTGCCAACTATCCAGTATCAGTTTTTGCAAGCACAAGACCACAGGACAAATGACGTCTGTTGCGCATCAATCGTGCCCGTGTGCACTGTCAACCAACGGACGTCAATTGACGTCGACGACGATCGTTTTACGATGATTGTGTGCAAGCCAAAGGCCGCAAAGTAATTGGACAGAAAAATTGAATTTGAAATTATGCGTTGCGATAGTCACCTGCGCACTCTGTTTGTATTAGTTGTCAGACGCTATTTTACTACATATTAAAGTGCCCTATTGTTCCTGAATTCGTATTCTTCGTACACTATCCCTTGTCGTTGCCTACGATAACAGATAAGTGCCACTGTAATTGAATTTTGAAACCAAAATTTTGACTGCATTTAATGAATTTTAAGCGATACTAGACTTGTGCTACAGAAAATGGAGATGGCTTCATCACTAATTTCGAATAATTTTTTTCCCACAATCCAAGACTTTTCAAAATTGAATATGTAATTGAATATATTAATGTTGTAATGTAATAACAGACTAATAATTTTAAAATATATAATTCAAGATTTTGTAAATTTATAACAACTGTTGGTGAATGTTCAATTTAATTTTAGCCAAGTGAATGTTTAATTTTTGTTAATATTGAAAGTGAAATACGTCGAAAAATTTATTTTACCTGCGGTGAGACTTCAGAAAAATACGTTCATGACATGAGTAGTTATGTAGTAAGGAACTGTTTATAACATACTTCATTTAACTTTCCTGTAATTTTGTTACGAATATATTAGAATAATTTTATTTTTTCCGGGAAATATTTCAGTGAAACTTTGTCCGCCAGTGCGTCAAAGGACTGTCGCAGTATGCTTGTTTAAGTCTCCTGAAAGTGATGTTATCTAGTTTGCATTCAAACGCATTTTGGGTAATTGAACGTGTTATTTGTGTATTTATTTAACGTCAAACCCAATTTAAAACTAAGCGACGTACTATGGTACACGTGCAATATGTGCCGTTTTTTGAACTCTGGAATCTCTATCCTAATTCGTACAAATGCGGTAGTAATTCCTTTATTCTAAGCCTTAAAAATGTTTAGAATTGAAACAAAGGATAGAAGTTATCGTATTTCAACACACTGTTGTAATGTCTACACCGTCTATGCCATACCAGTCACTTAAGAACCGTAGGTGTTGCATTCTCTTGCAACCTGAGAAGACCTTGATGACTACCCTGATGCTTTCTCAGAACAGTGAAAGACTTGAACGTATCGGTTTACGACGCAACGAATCAGTGCTTCAGCGTAATTCCCCTTCACATTGTCTACGATGAGGACATTCGCGGAAGTTAAATTCCAACACTATTCTAACAAATTATATCACCGATACTCTTCCCTTGCAATGTTCCTTTAAAAATAGTGTTCGCAAGAATTTCAGTTTTTTCTTTACATTCGGCAAATCGTACTTTTTATTTTACATCCATAGAAAATATATTGGGACCCCATTGCACAGTATTCAAATGATGCAACAGTGCGGAATGTGTACTTTAGAACTTTGTGATTCGAGTTGATTGTAGTTTTCATTACTGCAACGAAAAATGAAGTGATGGAAATTGCGGAAAAAATTGTGTATTTAATAGTTAATAATAGTTTTGAAGTTATGAATGTGATCAATACAACTTATTACCTCTCTCAATTAGTAGACGCCACGTACGAAATCTTTCAAAACTTGTGAAATTCATGAAAAACCGTGACTGCCCGCGCACAGAAGCTAAGCCACAATTCGAAATTGTGACTTCACAGTTCAGCAGAAAATTTCAAGTTTCTTTGATGCTTGGCAAAATTTTACTGTCAAATTTTGTGAAAAAATATACGAATATAAATTGTTAAAGTAAAGAAAGGTTATTTTCTCTTCCCTGCTTTAGATAGAAAACGAAGTCGAAATTGCACAGTACAGATTCTAACTCAGGGGTTAAAGAAGGAGATGTAAATGTTTTGAACAAACGTATGTTAAAAAGTAAACAAAGCTGGGGCGCAAAGGTTCACGAGGAACACTGCAGGTGCGAGGAACTTAAAAACATTGAGACACAATTTCAGTCTTGATTGATTAACATTTATATTTTTGTTCGTTTGCCTTTTAACGATTTCGAAGCGAGCCTTTACATACGGACATTTTTTTAATTTATCGAATTGTAATTACAAAGTCGCGCAATAATTTTAACCCTTTATGCACTTGATTGCGCCTAGTTAAAAAAAGTTTTATCCCTATTTATATCGTTTGTGTATGTGAATCTTCATTTGTTTTCAAACATTTATCGCCTCTGGTTGTGTTTACATTTCTTACATTAAGGTCATCTTAATATTCTTACTTATAAACAGATTAAGGAAAGTTTATTAGGGTCAGTTGTAACTTACTTTCTTTACGTACATCACGAATACTTATATTATCAAACTAAGTTAGCGTATAAACTTATAAAGGATAAAAATGACTATTAACGATGAATTTTCTATGTATCTTTGAAAACAACTTTACTAAATATATCCAATAAATAAATTGAGGCTGAGCGCCCATGGACCATGAGCGTCCATTGGATAACGAATTCCTTAAATCTATTATTCTATGTACAAGAAAGCTATGTAGAAGGCGAAGCATTTGGATGTCCGTCAATTTCCGCCTCCTCAAAACTGCGTTTATTTGTCATCCGATTGGAGCTGTTTAAGAGCTAACGCCTTCGCAAATAACAGCGGAAACGATACGCCCCAGCGCGAAGCGTTAGCGCGCCAAGCGGCCTTCGCCAGGCATCCGCCGTGCCGCGCCGCGCCGCGCGGGACGAGCGAGGCGTGCCCCTGGGCCCCCGCGCCGGGCGCCAAGTGACCTCAATTGTCAGCCGCAGCGCGCCTGCGCCAACCTAACGCCGACGCCACCGCCGGCATCGGGGCCGGCTGTTGCTACTACACAGTGGGTGCAGGGACGCGGCGGAGCGGGACTGGGAAGGGGAATAGCTAAAGAGAGAGAGACAGAAAGAGAGACAGAGAGACAACCAACACGGGAAGCAGATACGCGGGCACGTGCTGTGGGTAGGTCATTGTACGAGGATGTGGGTCGGGGACGCAGGACGGAGGGAATGAGAGAGGGGATTGGAAAACACGGGACGTTGGGAGGGCATGGATTGGAGGAGATGGGGGTGGGGCGTCATGAGACATGGGGAATTACGGACGAATTGGCACGTTGGAGGAAGGTGTGGCATGTTGGACGGAGAAGGGTGCACGGGACGTTAGCAGGTTCATGAGTCAGATGGGGCTTCATAAGATCGACGAATACTGGACGGAAAAGGGCGTAAAAACTGGCGTTGATACCGAGAATTGCCAGACAATAACACCGTTTACAAGACAAGAGAATACTACGATGTGGCATGTCGCAAATTGTCCAATTTTTAAATCCAATTTAAAAGAAGTTGTTTTAATGTTACGGTCAAACTTTTGGCTACCTATTCATGATGGAAGTTAAAAAATTCCTGAATTTGCCTAATTGAACGTATGCTTTCTCTCTTGTGAGTGAGCGCCACCTCTCGTTTTAAGTGATAGAACTGCTTCGAAGAGCGCACATGTTGAAACAAACAGTTTTGAGAAATATTATAATACTCTATTAATAATATTTTTTGGTAATTTAACTTTTATTGGCTGCCGGCAGAACAGTTAGGAGGCCGGTGTTGCGAAACTTATTCCAAACGAAATCCTTCGAATACAAGTACTTGTATACTAGTGGCAACGTCGCGTAAGTAGTTAGTAACTACCGTCTCTGTTTCCTGGTATGTTAATACATGAAACTTTTTATTTAAAATACAATCTACTCCGATTATAGTGAATTCCTCGAGACTTAATATTTTTGGTTTACTATACCACGGGTACGCTATGACCGAGCATTCGAGAATTGACCATTTTATTTTCGATGATTACTTTTGTTACTACAGTGGTTCAGTAAAACCTCGAAAACCCTGAAAATTCGAACTTTTATATTCATTTGCATTAAAAACATTTTTATTATCATTTGCCAATTATAGTTTTGATTGGTACTTTTTGCAGCTCTCTATTAAGTCAGTCTTATCACGACATGTGAGTTTGCAGTGTCCACACACATACGATTTTAGTAGAATGGTACTAATTACTTAAATGTATCTTGCTCTGTTGAAATAATTTCTTGGTTTGTATCCTCTTTGCTCTTTTTGTCATCACAAGTTTTCTTCTATACTGTAAGATTCATTCATACGGTGCTTTACGACTCCCTTGGCAGACGGTACATCACCGTTTTTATCTCGCAATCACCGTAGATTAAATATTCTTGATCGACAGAATTGCCGCTGATGAGCTAATGTAATTTCCTCAGTAACTGCTGTCAGTCCTTTTAATTTGCAGTAAATGCTACAAAATTAACTCTTGAGACCCTATGGTTGCAAACACAACTTCCGAGTTAAAAAAAATTCCTGTGATATGCATTTGTGATTATTTTGTGCAATCACCAGTAAGTTTTAAGCCGTAAACTCATATCGCTTCGGTAATAACTATAGTTGTCGTAAGTATTTCGCAACAAAAAGCAGTAGGCTAGCTAATATCAGTAGAAATAATTATTTTTGAAGAAAGTGACGCTTTGGCACAGCTGTTAAATGTTCTGTACATCGATCACATGCATCTGTTTACCGTTTTCGAAGTAAAATAAATGAAATTTAAATAAATATTGGCAGTAGCCTGTAATTGAAATCTGTTAACATCCACAAACTTAAGTCGAAATCAAAAAAAATGGCATAGGAATGAAAATTGGCATTGCGCGAACCTCCAAGGTATTCCGTCAGGCGAGGTTCGAACCGCTGTTGAGACCTGATAAAGACGGTGTTGAGGAAACCCAGAGGAGAAGGACAGCTACCACAGCACGACCATCTCCCGCCGTAACGTGGACGGGCAGTCGGACCCCCCGAACAGCTGAGCGAGGTCAATGCTCTCGCCGTCAAGCACTTTCATTGTAAGCGAAGATCCTTGTACAAAGTGAATGTAATTAATGTATTTGTTTTACCCGTGATCAAAATTCACGCGTAAGTGTAGAGAGGTTACTATAATTCCCATTGCTGACAATTTAACTTAAAGTTACGTCCATGCGCTTCATTTGGTCACTGCTTTCGATTACAGTTATCTCGTTTGAAAATGGCTCCATCACTATTCCTTGCAATGCTATCGCCCTGCATTGCGTTCATTTGTTTCCCTGCCTGTCGAAGTGATCCCTACTTAGAGTAATTCTTCTGTACTCGGTAAACGAAGTTAAATGTCAGAGGCGAGTGCGCGTGCACCGACGCGGCGGCGGCTGTGACTGCAAAGCCCAGGCAAGGCCGCCGTCGCACGTTCGACTTACGCGCCGATGCTGAGTCCGCGGTCTTCTCAGGGAGGCGGCGCCGCCCGCGGTGCGCTGGAGGCCCGAGACGAGCGCGAGCACGTGAGGCGGTTCAGGTCCACTGCCGGCTAGCGCGCGGCAACGCGCCACCTCTGTACGCCGCGAGGGGAATCTTGCCGCGCCTCCTCCGCCCCCACCGCGCCTTCCCCCTCCCCTCCGCCCCGCCCGCACCCGCCGCGACCCCGCCCCACCCCACGCTCGCTCTTCGAACTCCGCGCGAGGCAAAGCACGTCCCTCAACGCGGCGCGCTGTGGCGCCACCGCCGCCCGCAGCGATAGTCAACTTTCCGGTTTCGATTGCCTTCGCGACCATGTGCTCTCGGCTGGCGAGGTTATTGCTCCGTGGTGGATATTGTATCGGCTGTGATTTTGGAGATACGCGATGTTATTATCGTTTTTTCGGACGGCTTTGTTCGGAACAAAGCGCTGGTGTTTGGATTTCTGACAGCTGGATGGTGATACTCCTTGGGTCGAAGTTCACTTGGTCTCTGCGTCGTTTATTTTCGGGGCCAAAATGTGCGAGAGGCGAAGTTGCGTCGTCCTATGCTGGAGAGTTGATGCAAGAGCGATTGCAAAACGAGGAAACGGGAGAACGAGGTTATTTCAAGTAGATCCTTGAAATCAAGTGTAGATGAACAGTTCAAACTAGCGAAGGTAATAATTCATTTGTTTTTGTTTGTTTGTTTTTTCTTTAACGTATTACACCTCTACATCATATTTACACATTACATATGTTATAATACATTTTTTAATATTGTGTTCTATATGAATATGTGGAAATTTGTTCACATTATTTTGAATTACTGAATTTAGACATAGTTTTTAATAATATGAATATTTTCCCAATGTTTTTTAATGGTATTTTCGGATGAACGCAACATTCATTAGGCCTATAAATCTGAAAATATTTTTTTCTTCTTTTAATTTTATTTGCAATTCAAATGTGTTTTTTTTTATTTGAACATGAATTTGAGCATTAGTGTAACTCTATGTACATGTAATGATTTAGACATTGTGTTACGTTATTCTTCTTACACTAAACGTACCATAAAAAATATTACACAATCCATTGGTCATTATCTGTTTATGCATAAGAGCTAGATACAGAAAAGGAATAGTCAGAAATTGGTGTGCTGTTTTCAGTTTACGCCTCGCATAACACCCACGGCGGAGAGGAAAATGGGCAAGAAGTTTTGAGAGGAAACACTCGATTATCAGGGGAATTGGTGAATCCGCCGTGTTTTGTGCGAGTTCATTCACTGAAATATTTAAATGGTGGTTAGTTAGTAGAATGCGTATATGCAGTAAGATGAATGTAATAGGAGTACGCAGACGTGATCAATTGAGAATATTGTTGCATCAAATAAAACGTAGGTATATATCGTACAAATAATTTGAGGTGAGATTTCCTAAAAGACGGCGCGAAAGGCATAGTTAATTGTACAATACAAAACCCAAGAACGTTTTACTTACCCCCGACCCCAACTTGGAAATGCAGGGAGAAGGGTAAACTGGACAATTATGCCAATAATTTGTCTTGAAATATTTGAGAAATAAGCTGTGTGAAGAGAGTGCTGTACATTTTTTTTAGATATTTCACTTACTTCTTGCGTCTGCCTCGTGCAATGTATCACATTTGGTCGACACTGGTTCATTTATTTCTCCACTGATTTCGGAATAATTATGTATGGTTGGTTCTTTGCACTATGATTGAGCAATATTGCACATTTCAGCACCAGCATTTAATTACTAGACTTTGGATCATAACATCCTAAAAATGGAGGGACAGGGGACAGAGAAACGGGCGGACAGAGAAACGGGCGGACAGGGAAACGGGCGGACAGGGAAACGGGCGGACAGGGAAACGGGCGTTTTGCTGTCAATCGATTTTTCGGTATCAAGAATCCATAAAACATGGATTCTGGCAACACCATTGTTAGAGGATTTTTTCCTAAATTACGAACTGGATTTATCCACTTCTAAGTTTCCAGGGCCTTGCAATAAGCGTTTCTGACGAAAACTCAGTTTTTTGCGCAGCATGCCATATTTTTTACTCAAGAAGTTCCTTCTTAGGCGCGAGAAAGTAAAACTGTCAGAAAATACAGTAAAAAGCTTACCTCTTTATTGCAGACCTGATAAAAGATTATTTTGCCATCAGTTGTTTAAGATTGGAAATCCGAAATCAATGGTCTTAAGAATGAATTTTTTCTATAAGTAGATATTTAGATATTGGAACCAAATATTATTTTTAGATTTTGGGCCACGTGCACCTGTGCGAGTAAAGATATTTGAAATGAGCATATCTGGTGATAAATTCTGATTTATTGTAACCAAATGAAATTAGTTGAAGTTTTTTATTTCTATTTTGTAAATACAATTTCTGAACAACATAGTTATTACATTTTTATTTACTATGATCTACGTACTAAAAATTAACCAAATGATATGAAACTAGTGGCGTATATTCTAGGCCAGTTTCAAAGCTTAAAGATGGCAAACGAATAAAAATGTAACGGGAGCGGTCAATAAATACTCAAACACTACTACGAAGTTGAAACGGACGAGCACGCTTACCTGACGTTGACCACACTCTGCAACCAACTTGAAAGGTCTTCCCAGTGCGATTGCGAAAATGCATTCCGATGTTCGTTCTGCATTGACAAACGTCGCGGCAACGACGGGGCCGAAGATGTGAGGGTGAGGGAGAATTCTCATACCAAGGCTTCGCTGGCGGCTTCAGTTAGTCACGGCGAATACAAACGTACACGATCAGATAGGCGAAGGGAAAAGCTGCTTTGCATCCAACCTTCGAGCCCAAAGTAAACTCGTCTTGTTGTCGGGGACCGATGCTGGCCAATGGCTACTGGCGAAACTGGAACTTCAGTGTGCTCTTCTCACACTTCTCTGGTGTATTTCTTTTGGTGTGCGATTAGTGTGTTCTAATTTTATGTGTCAAGTTGTATGTAAGTCAATGTATACTGTCAAGCGACCAGAATATTTGGATGAATTTAGAATTTTTGTAAATAACATTGTGACCTTGTCTGCTCCTCACTTCAATGATTATTATACCATTTTTCTGAGAAACACTAACTATTCAGCAATTTCTTGAAGATTTCTCTCCTATAACGTCCAGAGTTGTGCTTAATGATTCTAAGCGGTGCGGATATTTCTAGGCGTTACCGAATATTTTTAAATGATACAAAGAAAAACGCAAATTTGTGAATAGTCGGGATTGGGGTGCATATTACAGAAACCCTGAATCGCGACCGGCCTTGCGACCATGCTCGACCACGCCAACGGCCGTCAGATATGCAGTCCACTCGAACGCAAATGAATTTCCGAGTCTACAACAGCAACTCCGATTGATTGCTTGATTGATTCCTAGTGCTTTCCGGCGCGTCAACGGCTAAAGTCAGTAGTCTTGCAAATGTAACGCGTGTTTTTGCTCGGGAGGTGGCGGTGAACTTGACCCGCTGGATGGCGAGATCGGCGTCGACCTACCGTTGGCTGGCGGGGTTTTCCTCTACCAGGTATCACCCACCAGCGGGGCACCGTCGCGTCCGGGTCAAGCTCTGATAGTCTACTCAAATTAAGACGAAGCGAGTGAAAAAAAATCCCGGAGTTTTGAAACTTGGCATGATTATTTGTATTTTATTTGCATAAAATACCAAAATTCCTAAAGTGTGAGTGGTATGTCGAAGGTGGGGCGGCCGTTTTAATGTGCATTTTCGAGTTGTTTGCATATGTCTGTGTATGTTTATTTGATAAAGATATAGTACAAATATTTGGTAAAGAATTATGTCCACTGTCAACATACAAATTATATAAAACAATGCAAATGTCCCGAATAACCGCGAATGTCGTTAGGAAAACATCATAACTCATTACAAAACTGTCGAAGCCGTAAGTGATTTTAGGAACGTTGGGGCTTCCTCCAATTCCCTAATCATTGTATTCTCTCGCCAAACATTGATGTTCATTTCGTTCGGCACTGACACTCTATTTTAGTTGTCCCTTAAGATTCACGTATTCATAGAAGATTTTGATTATTCCGTTTTTACTGTTTTATGGAACATGTATGTTGACAGTGTACTGTACTCTTTAAATATTTATACTCGATCATTATTAAATAAACTATGGATTATCATTTTTCGTACCCGAGATAATCTCGGACCCCAGTGACCATGGATATTCACAAGTCTATTTACAAATAATATTTGTATAGATGTGGAATGCTCTTGTTGTTTGCGCAAAATATGCAAATACGTATTGTTAATAAATCAAGATCAAAAATATAATTATTTCCGTGCATTGAACTTACCATAACAGAATTTTTATAAGAAAGATAATAGGGCCTTGGCGTAAAAAAAGTAACAACAATTGAAGCCTATAACACTAAAATGGTTATTTTACAACAGTCTTATAAAAACTTTTTATAGGAAATTTTATCTACTTTAATTTTGCGTAGAGCATAATTGATCTGAGAAACCATTGAAAACTCAATAAGAGCAGACGTTCGTTGGAATTCTCCTCCAGGCAGCGACAGAACTTCACCTACCTATCTGGCTAGTGTCGAAAATTCTGTTACGGTGGGGACTCAAAACCTGGGACCTCCCAGTCAGAGGCACATCAGTTGATGCCCTGAGCCACCTCTCCCAATAACAACAGCTCTTCGGGGCATGGATATACTCACAAAGTACGGTTGACATATAGGGAGCGACGACTATGATAAAATACATTTTTTCTACGATAATATATTTTTAGGCCAACATGTCAAAGGAATAATTTATTGCTAATACTACTATGAGATGCACGTTGACACGATTTCACTATCTCAAATGGTGGGAAGGTGCAGATCGTCGGTAATGCCACCGGGAGAGGTGTCTCAGGTCGTAAACTGATATCACTGCAGTGCCTCTGACCGCAAGGCCCTTGGTTCGAGTGCCGACCGCGGCAGGACTTTTGATACTAGCTTGAAAGTTGGGTCAAAGTCAGTCGCTGCTCGAGGGACAATTCTAGCGGCCGGCTACTCTGTGTTTCTGTGGAGTTTTCTGGGAATTCTTCAACAGTAGCAGACGAATGTCAGAACAGTACCCAAACAAAC